TTTAAACACGGGCACTAGGCTCTCAATTCCCTTTTCACGTGTTCCTAGAGGCTAGGTCTCAAGTGTTTAAACACGGGTACTAGGCTATCAATTCCTTTTCCGCGTGTTCCATGAGGCTATCAATCAATCAATCAATCAATCAATTAATTTACAAACCAATCAATCAATCAATCAATCAATAAAAATCAATCTATCAATCAATCATGTTTCAGAGGGGAAAGACCGTTGATAATTGTTTTTAAAACAATTGATTTAGATTTCTCTAAGAGTTACAATTGTAATACTACATGTCAAAAATTATTTCCAAATATAATTAATAACACTAATGGAAAGGGTGCAAACCCAGTGAAATTGATAGTTTAATGTTGTTTTTTTAATTTTTTTTTTTTTATTTTGACTTATCGATTCACCCTTATTATGAGCTCATTCAGTGAAAAAATATCTGCCAAATATGTACATTAGCATATGGAATCTTTTAAGGGCGTGTGTTTGAAACTTACAAAATATACACATAATAATCATATCATTTGCTTTATGAGCTCGTCAGGCACAAAGGGCCAAGTGAACTTTTCTCATGACTTGGCATCCGTCGTCCGTCGTCGTCAATCGTCGTCGTTAACTTTTGCAAAAGTCTTCTCCTCTAAACCTACTTGGCCAAGTATAACCAAACTTGGCCACAATCATCATTAGGCTATCAAGTTTTAAAGTGTGTCCAATGACCACGTCTGCCAACCAACATGACCGTCATGGCTAAAAATAGAGCATAGGGGTAAAATGCAAGTTTGGTCTATTATCTTGAAAACCGCTATGAATGGAGAAAATCTCACGAGACAAAAATGTTTAGAATAATGAGATCTACATATATATTAACTATTTACTTTAAAACTTTCAGAAGATTTCTTAAATAAGTTATAGCCCTTCAATAACAAATTTTATAATAGATAGAGAGAAACTTTAGAACCAAAGAAGATCAACAAGACAAGATCTACAAACAGTTCCCATAGTCGAAATTGCTAGACAACTCTTTATTGTAGTTAATGCCGTGTAATGATCGTACATAATACGTTTTTGCCTAATATCTGAAAAAACTATAATTGATAGATAGAAACTTAAATAAGCAAAAGTGATAATCAAGACAAGATCTACAATAGAGGCGAAAGATACCAGACGAACATTCAAACTCATATTTCGAAAATAAACTGACAACGCCATGACTAAAAAAGAAAAAAAGAACAATAGTACACAAAGCAAAACATAGAAAACTAAAGACTGAGCAACACGAACCTAAATATCTGAAAAACTATTATAGAGAAATAGAAACTGAAATAAGCAAAAGTGATCAGGAATACAAGATCTACAAATAAGTTTCAATCTTAAAATCGTCTGACGAACCCTTATTGGAGCTATAGCCCTTTGATAATGATTTATACTTTTTTTTGCGTATTTGCCTAATAGCTGAAAACCTGTAATAGATAAGATAGAAACTTAAACTAGCAAAAATGATCAGCAAGACTTGACCTAGAAATAAGTCAAAAGGCCGAAATTATCGGTCGACTCCTAGTAGGAATGACGATTTTTACAAATATTTTACGTGTTTGACTACTATCGTGAAAACTATCAAAGTCACATAGACTTTAAATAACAAAAATGATCAGCAAGACAATATCTACACGTAAGTAAATATTTGTCGATATTGTTGGTTTACTCTTTATAGGATTGATTGCCTTAATGATTTTTTTTACCGTTTTTTTGTGCTTTGGGCAAAAACTAAAGAAAATAGAGAGAAAGTGTCAACAGAAAAAATATCAACAATACAAGATCAACAAAAACAAATTGTCAAAAGATGTTTCTAGTCAACAATGTTTGAAAGAGTCCACGGTTGAAGATGTTCATAGACCTAGGTGAGCGACACAGTCTCTTTAGGGCCTCTTTTTCAATATATTCATATTTCTTTCACAAGTAATGAAAAATATTATAGAGAAACTGAATTTATAATCCGCGGCATTTTGTGAAAAAAACGTATATTGTTTCATAATAATAATTTAAATTCATAATTAACACAGTTATCAGATAATGAATAACTTTTCGGTCATATTAAAATATCGATTTAATTCCGTACATTACTTGTTTTGTCGATTGTTAGTTCTTTGTCATGGTATTGAATTCTTCGAATTATGGATTTTAATCCCTCTTGATATCTTCTCCCTCTTGCACTTTAAAGTTGTGTTTTACACACATGCAACTTTGGAACGTGCAATCGTGTGGAAATACAAGGTGGACCTTAATAAGTCAACAAAATAAAAATAAAACATTTGGAAGTCAAGACAGGCAGCTATGCATGCAAAGTGTCCAGACTGAGTGTTAAATTTTACTAGTGTGAAGCTAGCCGGCGTTATATTAATGAGGCCAGCCGTCAATAATATTCATGAGATGAGACCGCGTTCGATGAAGTGGTGTGGGTAATTAATATATTATGACAATATAATAACTTTTTGCCGTAAATATCCAATATGGTTCTGCTATTTATACCAATATAAAATCTTAACTCAATATGTGACTTCTGCAAGGTCCGCGTCTTTTAACACCATTTAAATGAAAGTAAATAAAAAGGTTAATGCCTTCATACACATAGAACCAAGCAATAATTCATCAACATTATGTGATTTTCCTTATCAATGATATTCTATAGAACTGACTGACCAAATGTGATTGAAAACAAATTCTCAGATTGACCTAAGATAAATACATTGAAATAAATAACCTGTATCTACTTTATATGGATTTACATGTTTAGTGCTCACAATACCATCTATACTTGCACTAGTTGCAAATGTTAACTCATCAGAGTTAATTGTGGTTGTTATATTTGGTATGTTGTTTTTAGACGTTGTTGTTGTCAATGATAGAAGGCTAATGGTTTTTGTCCTAGCTGTTGTTGTTTCCATTGATGCGGTTGTTGTGATTGTTGCAAGGGTGCTGTTAATACCACACGTCAGTTTAAGCTTATTTCCTGCTGTAACATCGACTGCAAATTAGAAACGTATAAATGCAATAATCTAAATAGATGGCACGATCATTACAATTTGCAGAGACAAACGATAAAAATTACAATTTATTCAGTTATTCAGCATTTAAAACCAATCAACACAAGCAGAAACTCATTCAATCAATTTTTGACATCCTATACCGTCTCACATAGCGGAGAATAAGTAAATAAAAAAGATATTCTTTATGAAATGAGATCGTCCCAGGTTTCTTAGATAATTATTTTTGCGTTGAATAACAATGAAAAATGCACGAACAGGTTTGTAAAATCATTTAAAGAAAAAGCAGTCTTCCATACTTTTGATTTAAAGAATTCCTTATGACGTTGCCTTATTGTGATAACTAAAACTGACAATACAGAAAATTGTAGAATGAAAAAAAAGGTTGCTTTAATTTATTTTTATGTTTTAAAGTGCTTTTCCTGTTTGAATTTAGTTGAATGGTGTTTTATGTAGAAAATGTGCTCCGGGTGCACAAAATTATTAAAGTGATTTTTTCATTTGTTTATCAGGTATTAGCCCACTGATTAAAGAAAGTTCCTAAGTCTGTTATATGTAAGCGTGCTTGTCTTAAGTGACAAACATCGCCAAAGGTTTTATTCAGTAAATATCCAGATTTTTTTTAATTTATAGAATTTAGTGTTAATGGCAGATAGTATCTGTTTTTATTTAATATTAACTTTGAATACCTTAATTTACCCTGATTTTTTTTCAATTTAGATTTATAATAGATTTGAATAAATAATTGCAGGTAATTGATTTAACTGTTTTAAAAACAGTTTTCAAAGAGATTGCTGACCCAGGTAAAATGTTCATCATTTGCCACAATATCGCAAATCAACATAATGACATTAATCACGAACCTTATAAGACAATTTCTTCTTATCTTTACATTTTATAGCTAGTTTCAGTTGGTTAGGCAAAACTATGTTTGATGTTTTGTGCGTATTTTTATAAAACCAACCATTTTGATTTTATTGTTGTTGTAGATTTTGACAAGCGGTGGTTGCCAAAAGATTGCTGCAGCTCATAAATACTAAGTTTGAATTTAAATTTTAATCCTTTCCTTGTGTTATGCTTGTATTGTGGAACAGCTACCTTGAACCTAACGATAACCATCTAAATGACACATAATCAGCTGATTATATATAAGACATGAATTAAAGAAAACATATTTATGATATTCTTATTTCGTAAATCCATTTAGAAAATACAAATCATGAAAAACCTAAACATGAGGAAATCGCGTGAACTCTGCATGAAGCGACACTATGTGTTAGCGATTCCTCTTATTCATGCATCACTTACCATGCAAAAGAACACTCAGAAATGATGCAATCGCGAAAATAACAGAAAAGTTTATTAACAGATCAGCCGACTATTCGTATATCTAACGATATAAGATAGCAACAATATGTTTCATGCGAGTTCAGATTCTGATACATCGTATTGGTCAACAAGTAAAACGTGTTTGTTGTCAATTTAAGTAGACGTTCTTCCTCAAAACTATGTAGCAGTTTTTGCTTCGCGATCAATCCGTTGTTGAAGAAGTCCGTATAAAGGGAACAAGGAGATAGTTAATACAGTTTAATAATATTTGGAGTTTAAATCAAATGACACGAACGACAAAAACACAGATTTCTGAATTGTGATTTATGCCACCGAATCAAACGATTCTCTGAAATGAACATTCATGAGTTTTGAGTGCTGGTACATTGTGTAATTGTGCTTATTTACCTTCATTTATTGTGGAATATTATTTTTTTTAATGAAGAATATTGATTTTTTAGTAAAAACGACTACTAATATCTTATTCATTTATGGCTTTGGCTGTCTTGATACGGCAGTTTGTTATGTTGTTGTTGGTTTTCTAGTGTTTTGATAATCAGTTATTCCAGAAAGATGACTGATATCGGTATCATACGTTAAGTACTATTTGATAAGACTTACCTTTTTTTACTTCAATGCAAAACCCTTCATTATCCTCCAATGTTCCATTTACAGTCATTGATCTTATTGTCATTACATCTTTTTTCACAATCAGTTTTGAAACACTGCTAACGCCGAAGCAGTTAGCTTCCCCAAAAATATCTTGTCCAACACTAAACATTAGTTTCAAACCGCAGTCAGCATTAGACGGAATGGAATTTATCTGATCGTCAAATCTTTGAAAGTTAATAGTAAATGGCTGATCTTGATCGTTTAAAGAAAGTTCACATGTACAGTTTTGTCTCATGTCCGATTTTACTAAAACAGTATTGCTGCCATCTTCGAACGCAGTTTCACTGTTACATATGTTGACCACTGGAATGAATCAGATAGCATGAATAACAAAAGTCAGAAAAAAACCGTCTTTTATACATTAGCCACTTTATCAAATCTGTAATAGCATTAACGTTTATAATTTATCGCACCAGTTATGCATTCCAACAATTAATGTCTTTTCAGCGATATCGATGCTCGAGGCCAAAATATTCAAAAAACAAAAACCTGACAAACGTTGAAGAGCTGATAAAACCAAAACGGACAAGGAATCAGAGCTTTGCACGAGGGAGAAATATTCCATAATCGAAATGACTTTCGAAATTTTATAACTGCAAATTTAAATGAAACAATATCCGTATGTTCATGCCAGTACAGAATGGACTGATGATATCAACCATCGGGGACTAATAGTCTTTCATAGAAGACAATAACTTTTAACGAAAGTTTTCCTAGTACAATGAGTTTTGTAAAATTTTAAACTATCGATATAAAAAGAAGTTGCCCTCTTAAACTGAACATTTATATGAAGATGCAGACTAAATATAAAATCAATCCCTTTTATTTAAGCCAAGCAAAGTTTGATGAAAGTTTTCCTTTTCAATGGGTGTTGTAAAACTTTCGACAAACAGGAAGTAGCTGCACAGCAGATGTAAAAATTGCTTACCCGCTACAAATCAACATTATGAAGCTGCAGACAATGTGTATAATATTTCCCTTTCATAGAAGCCTTGCATAAATCGAAGAAAGTTTTCTACCCTAAGTCTTTCGGACGGGCGGCGTTGGGAGGTTACTAGGTGACGCAGGTAAAAAGGAGACAAATCACCTACATGCATTATGAATTTATGAAACACAAACAATAAACATGATTTTACATAAAATCGCTTTTTGTTTGCTCTTGTTATCAACCATGTAAGTGTCCTAAAGGTTTGTAATGATTAAATAAAGAGTCAATGTCAAAATGAGGAGTTAAATAACATTAAACCATGTATTTGTATTAAGGCCAATTAAAATTAATTGATAAATTTTCATCCCCACCTGCCCCTCTGAAATCGTCCCACGCCGATTTTTTTAATTTTTGAAAATTTTCAATTTCCAGATTTTGTTCATTTCCGTTATCGCCGATAATTTAGTTTCATTCACAACCTCCTCTTGCAAATGTCAGTTTTCGTTATTCTTTGAGTAATTTAACCAAGATAATTAAATCGACGTATTCTGCTGCTCTATGATGACAACAGTATCTTCCGAGAAATAGAGATTGATTACGGGAAGAGCATGAAATATTTGGTTTACGAGTAATAGGTGGTGTCCAACAACTTCTTCCTTTTGGTTATGTTCATGTGTTACATTGTAATTTAATAAAATAACAACAATTTGCACCTTGCACACGAATCGCAAATATCCCTCCATAACATGATATATCTGTTTAATTACACCGAATAGATTTTGATTGAAACTGTCTGTACATGTGCAGGGAAATCGTAGTACCGCGGGAATTATACATGTACTTATATGCGTTAGTGCTGTCTTTTTGTAACGTCATGGTATCTATATGCGTAAACGTCATTGTTATTCCATCATTAAATCGTTCATTTGTATAGACATATTTTCCCCCTCTTTATATGTATATTTCTGACGGTTTTCGGTTTAACTCAATCAATAGTGCTTAACCATGTTGTCGAGATAAAGTGAGAAAGGTTCCGAATAATTTTGGCGGGAACAGGCTCGCAAGGGTAAAAAAGGAATATCCAAAATGGCAAATACCACGGCAGAGAGGGGAATTTGAGGCAAATTCACCGGCAGTAGTGAAAAAAAACAGGCAAATTCGTTTGAAATGAGGAAAAAATGTTAGAATATGCGAAAAATACACTGGCTAACAACCAATCAAAATCCGGTATACTTATATAAGGTGTAATTATAATCGTAATTCAACTTGTTTGCCTTGGATTTACATGATTTAAGATTCTGTTTTGCCAAATTTTCAATCGAAAATTATACAGTGTATATATAGGGATATTGATAAGGTGTTGTATAAGTATGTACATTTGTACCATCTCGTCAATTTAGACATACTTATCCATAACGATTATATATGATATCTGGGACGTCCGAAAAATATACTCGTTCTGAACATGAAAAAAATATTTGCCGCTGGACGTTAGGCTACAAACGAAATCAATTAACCGCCATAATATATTAACAGTACACTATTCCAAGAAGAGAACTTCTCATACTTTTCATTATAATGTACTTAAATCAGTCATGTCAGTGTTGGATGATGCCGTTAAATATTATAGTTTTGTTTTAAATACAAACCATCCCGAACTACTGACTTAAGTGACAGTTCATTATGCAACTATAAAGATTTCCATAATAAAGTGCAAATATGGTCAGTTTTGGATGATGCGGACAAATAATTTTTTTATATGAGTCAGTCTAAGGTATGAAAACATTAAAATTTGTTTACGATTCAATATTTTGAATAAAAAGAGGACATGCTGGCACTATAAATTGATGCGAACAAAATTTTATAGTCATTGTTTTCTAATATTACTGTCATTTATTTTATACAGTTCCTCCTGACCTAAAAATATAACTACTTTACTATGCAGCTATATAGATTTGCATGATATAGTGCAAATATAGTCAGTTTTGGTTGATGCGGACAAATAATTTTGTTATACGAGTCCGTCTGAAGTATGAACACTACTGATATTTGTTTACGATTCAAATTTTTGAATAAAAACAGGACATGCTGGCACTATAAATTGATGCGATCCAAATTTTTTAGTCATTGTTTTCCAATATTGCTGTCATTTGTATTATACAATCCATCCTGATATAAAAATATAACTGATTTACTATGTTGCTATTAAGATTTACATAATAAGGTTCAAATATGGTCAGTTTTGGTTGATGCGGACAAATAAGTTTGTTATACGAGTCAGTCTGAGGTATGAAAATAACTGATATTTGTTACCGATTCAATATTTTGAATAAAAATAGGACATGCTGGCACTATAAATTGATGGGAACAAAATTTTGTAGTCATTGTTTTATAATTGTTTGTTTGTATTGCGTGATCCTTTTGGGTGTAATTTGGCAATAAAGATTATCTAATATAACTGTCATTTGTATCATACAGTCCCTCCTGACCTAAAAATATAACTGATTTACTATGCAGCTACATAGATTTGCATGATATAGTGCAAATATGGTCAGTTTTGGTTGTTGCGTCCAAATAATTTTGTTATATGAGTCAGTCTGAGGTATGAAAACTACTGATATTTGTTTACAATTCAATATTTTGAATAAAAAGGAGACATGCTGGCACTATAAATTGATGCGAACCAAATTTTTTAGTCATTGTTTTCCAATATAGCTATCATTTGTATTTACAATCCATCCTTACATAAAAATATTACTGATTTACTATGCGACTATAAGATTTAAATAAAAAAGAGCAAATATGGTCAGTTTGGGTTGATGCGGTTAAATAATTTTGTTATCAAGTCAGTCTGAGATATGTAAACCATTGATATTTGTTAAAGATTCAATATGTTCAATAAAAAGGGAACATGCTGACACTATAAATTGATGCGAACAAAATTGTGTAGTCATTGTTTTCCAATATGGCTATCATTTGTATTATACAATCCATCCTTACATAAAAATATTACTGAATTACTATGCGACTATAAGATTTACATGAAAAAGAGCAAATAAGGTCAGTATTGGTTGATGCGGAAAAATGATTTTGTTATACGAGTCAGTCTGAGGTATGACAATTACTGATATTTGTTTATGATTACATATTTTGAATAAAAAGAGGACATACTGCATGGCACTATAAATTGATGCGAAGAAAATTTTGTAGTCAATGTGTTCTAATATTACTGTAATTTCTATTATACAGTACCTCCTGACCTGAAAATAGAACTGAATTACTGTGCAGCTATATATATTTACTTGATAAAGTGCAAATATGGTCAGTTTTGGTTAATGAGGTCAAATAATTTTGTTATACGAGTCAGTCTGAGGTATGAAAACTACTGATATTTGTTTACGATTAGATATTTTGAATAGAAAGAGGACATGCTGGCACTATAAATTGATGCGAAGAACATTTTGTAGCCATTGTTTTCCAATATTGCTGTCATTTGTATTATACAGTCCCCCTGACCTAAAAATAAAACTGAATTACTGTGCGGCTATATATATTTACTTGATGAAGTGCAAATATGGTCAGTTTTCGGTTAATGAGGTCAAATGATTTTGTTAAACGAGTCATCCTGAGTCGGACAGTCTAAAATGTGAAAACTGCTGGATTTTGGTGATGATTTATTTATTTGAATAAAAGAAGGACATGCTTGAACTGTTTGTTTGTGCAGAAGAAGAAATTTACTATAAAAAATTTTCAATTAATTAAAGAGGTGTTATAACATTGTTAATTAACTGTTAATGTCAATCGAAAATGAACAGTTGGTCATTTAATTTTGATGTACTTTATCATTTGATATTTAAGGTCAGTGTATCCAGGATACGATGACAATTTGCGTTAACGCGCGTTTACTACAAACAGTAAACGTGCATTTACTTTTGAAGAAATTAGAAGACACGCCTTTTTCACGTTAACGAGGAAGTAAACGCGAAAGTAAACGCCCGTTTACTCTTTACAAAATTAGAAGACGAACTGATTTTGCGTTAATGCGGAGGTAAACGCGAAAGTAAACGCCCGTTTACTTTTTATGTCTACTGAAATTTCGGAGTTAACGCACAGTTAACGCGGTGTTTACTTGAAGTGCACGCGAGTAAACGCCGCGTTAACTTTTTTTGCCCGTCTACATGTAATGCTTGGTCTGCACCCAACTGTACATGACTTAACCTTATTAATACCCTTGCTTATGCAGAGCACATTACGAAAGGGTTTTTGAGGAAATAAAAATTAAAAAATAAAATCCACCCACCCGCCCCATTTTATTCAAAAAGCTGGATGAAAATCTACTAATTAATTTTAGTTGGCCTAATCGGTAATGGTTATAAATCTTAAATGATAACTAAAGTAACCGGTTTTTTTTACCCATCTCTGTACATTTACCCTACGGTGTATATGTAAGTTTAGTACCACATAAATGAGGACGGCAAAAGAATATTTTCGTAAACACTAACATTACATTTGATATTCTAATTGTTTTAATTTTTGAATACACTTTAAAATTAATGTAAATAATATTTTAATTGGAATGTACTTCATATGACAAAATTTTATAGTAAATAAATATATAAACCTGGTAAATGGTCTGCTGTAGAACAAGGCTCTCCTGCACTCTCTAAAATGAGAATTAAATCATTGTGAGGATATCGATAACAACACAACATTAATTCAGTACGGACTTGTGCTGAAAGGGTATGCCTACAGGTGCCATCAACAAACATCAGAATTAAAAGAAAATTTTTCTTTCCTCAGGTTAAATTTTGAAATGCAATTGTATATTCTATCAAATTAACATCTATCAAATGAACTTTGGAGGAAGTCAAGAAAGCCGAATGCTCATCCTTCCCCAAATAAAATGGACAGAAAGATGAACGTATGTATGTCAATTTTATTTTATGCTTATCTTACTATTTATCACACAAGTACCACAATACCCTCTATCTGCTTGGATACATGATTTCTATTAGATATAAGAAGATGTGGTATGAGTGCCAATGAGACAACTCTATTGTCTGTTTATGAATCATGCAAAAGTACTAAACATACCCACTCAGGCGAAATTTAACTTTTGGTTTTTAATGCTCTCAAACGTTTATATATTCTTTTTAATTTCAACATATCAATTTCGAGTGTACCAGTTGAATGTTATGAAAATATGAAGTGCCCTCGGTAATCTGTGTCAATATAATTTTATACACGTCAAGGGACAATCTTTTGTAAGAAAGTGTATTATGGACATAGAAAAAAGAAAAGTTTCATTGATCTTTTTTTTTCAAAGGCAAATGTTTACATTTGGAAACATCAAATTTTGACTATAATCTCAAATTGTACCGTTTCAAATCTTGAAATTTGACTTTAATTCAAAATTTCGAGTTTTTATGAAACTTTCCAAATTAGAATTTCATTACCTCTCACATATGAATTAAACATCAATTCATTGCGCTAGATTTAACAATTCACAGTATTAGTACCATACAAACACAAATGATAATTTCATTAAACATTTTATTTGGAAATCTAGGAAAACAAGAAATGATAAGATAAACAACTGTCTCTGATGCATGATTTTTTATTATTATTGTTTTTGGTTTTTAACTAGCTGTCAGTAACTGCAAGTACTCTCAAATCGTACTTTCTTGTTTATTTGACCTATTGATACTAACTGTAATGCTTTTTTGTCATTTAATGTTTACTTTTTCAGGGTTATATCTGGTCTATATACCAGCTATAGTATTTGGTATTACTATAAATTTTCTCTTCTTCGTACTATAAACATCAAAATTATTTATTTTGTAAAAATATTTCCTTTCTCCATTTGAACTGTACATGTATACCTAACAACAAAATTATTTTCATTTACCTGTGTTTAAAGTTATTGCAAATGGCTGATATTTTTGTTCAAGCATATTGTTTTTCTTAAATTGTTTAACAGTTCACAGCGGTATAACATGTTACTTTAATTATTCTTCCCTTAGTTTATTTATTTTGTATTTACAGTGTATCATAGATCAAATTTATTTGTTCAGTGTATGTTCACTGGTTTCAATATGTCTTTTGATTGAGTTAAGCCATTTCAATTGATATTTTATAGTGTGTCTTTCTTTGTTGTGATGTTACACTATTGTTTCAGATAAGGGTGAAGGTTTGGTACCATTAAAGCGTTTAAACCCGCTGCAATTGTTTGCACCTATCCTAAGTCAGGAATCTGATGTTCAGTAGTTGTCGTTTGTTGGTGTGGTTCATAAGTGTTTCTCGTTTCATGTTTTTTTTTATATAGATTAGACCGTTGGTTTTCCCGTTTGAATGGTTTTACAATAGTAATTTTTGGGGCCCTTTATAGCTTGCTGTTCGGTTTGAGCCAAGGTTCCATGTTGAAGGTCGTACTTCGACCTATAATGGTTTACTTTTATAAATTTTGACTTGGATGGAGAGTTGTCTCATTGGCACTCATACCACATCTTCTTATATCTATTAATACTTTTGAAAAAAATCTATATTTATTGAAACAAACTTTGTGAAAATCAAGTATTTTTTAAGGACTCAAAAGTTATCTCAGAGAATTTCTATAATGCGAGAACAGAATGCTTACTGCTGAGCTGGTCGATAGCTTTAGCAAAAAAACATCCAAAAGCAGTGACAACGACCTAGGTCTTGAACAAAATTTCGTAAAACAAGTCATCAAAGATACCAGGTTTATAGTTTTGTACTTCATACGGGTTTTCTGTCTACAACAGATTCATCAGTGACACTCGAATCAAAAAAGTTAAAAATCCAAATAACGAATGATGTTGATAAGCATCATTTGAACCCAAATTCCGAATGGTTTTGCATAATACAGCTAAGGTTAGCATGTGTAAGATCTCTACTAAAACTTACATTTGAAATAAAGTGACCTTTGTGTAAAAAAACCAAATATATTTATTTTAGAAAAAGGCAATCTTATAAATAATATAACTAATGTGTTATTAGTAAAATGGCCAATTACTCCTTTAGGCCAAAATTTGACTTAAAGCGATTTCATATGCTATAGTAAAGGAGAAAATGCTTCGTTGGCCACCAAACTGTTACTTTTTCTTCTTTTTTTTTAAAAGTCATTTGTAACCTATTTACCATAAATAGCAATACACATTTTTTTTTAATCTACTAATTGCTTCGATAAAAAAAACCTTAATTCTATTACAATAAGCGGTCGAGGAACCAATTTCAGATTTTTGATTTTTGTGTCAATAAACTCATCATAGATACCAGGATTGAAATTTTATATTTGCGCCAGATGTGATGACATAGAATGGGTCATGTTATAAGCAAGTGGATATTCCTGTCCAGTATTCTGGAATGTTTATTGTGTTAAATAAAATAATAATAATACAAAAACAGTTTCGGCAAAATGAACAGTGCCTAGATATGTTTGTATTTATTGTTTGTGTTTGTATACTTTTATTCTAGGATAATTTAAACATGATTACATCGACCGTTATATGATATCTCTGTAAAGGATATTGCGCTTATAGTAACAATAAATCGGTTATGGCATAACTGAATGACAATTATCACCGGAATTTTATTTGCCATGAACAGTACCTAGATATGTTTGTATTTATTGTTTGGTGTTTGTATACTTTTATTCTAGGACAATTTGAAAAGGATCTATTATATATGAATTTTAGATTTTACTACCTTAAAGCAATTTTCAGTTATCATCTGCAAACTAAAACGTATATTTGTTTTGAATAACTGAAGATCAAATGTAGTCATTGTGGTGAAAACCTTAAGTTAATGTCAAACTAATAATTTTGGTCTTAAATATTATAGTAGTGTAGTCATGCTTCGTTATGAATGAATCAGCGAGCATATATACATACGCAGCAGAAGCAAACTGCATAAAGTTACTTTCATCGGGAAAACAAAAAGCTCAAAACAATTACTTTTTGTGTAATGCTACTGTAATTTATAAAACAGTATGCTTCTACGTACACTAGTCTTATCAAACTCAGAGTGATCTGTTATTCGATGATTCATTTTCGTTATCGTTTTCAAAATAGAGGACTAAAACATGACCTGTTCCACTTTTTTCCTTCAACAAGATGAAGAAACTATAATCAAAGTATTCTACTCACCTATAATAAGAACACAACTAACCAGCAAAATCGCCTTCATACCAATATTAATAATAAATGACTTTCATTATAAACGAAAAGTAGGTAGTTTAAATAGCAGTTCAATGCTTTAAAACCGGTTTGACATATATAATTGAATGTATTTATAGTGATGTTTATACTTTATGAATATGTAACACACAAATAGAAAATACGTTAACGCTCAGTGTAACAGATTTGCAAATCAAAGAATGAGTGATGCCACATTTGTGATTTTGATAATATATCATAATATACCATAATATATCTACTTCTTTTAACGTATTACACCGATTTCAATGAGCAAGTCACCTACCACGCGTGTCATTCGGTATATTGAGAAAAATTTTCGTGAAAGAATAACTTACGATGGTCAAGCATTGCGATCGGATTGTCAAAGATCCGGTATCGGATCGTGAATGTAATTAAGTGGAATTCTAGTTTCAAATCTGTGAAAAATCTGCTGTATTTTCAAAAGTTGCAACAAATCAGAAAAAAAATGTGTTTGTCAAAATGTTTCAACTTCCTTAATAATACTGTGCACTAAGTTAAAGAAAAAATGCAATACTTTTTAAGAAAACACAAAAGGCGACACACAATCCTATGAGAGTCATTAAGAAAAATCACGTCGTATATAAAATCTAAATGCATCCACGAATGAGTGAAGCGAGAGTGGGTCTGGTGGTCTTCCACTGGAAATATCTTCATGTGTACGTTTTTGTTTTCGTAAGGGTTAGATCAAAGAAGCTAGCTTTGTATATCATTTAATTTTATATACAGGTGTATTGAAGATGTTGTTTCCATTAACAATACAAACTTTTCAGATTGGGTTTCATTAATAGTCATGAACTAGAGATTACAGACACCACATATACAGCTACCTTGGCCTCATTTTTAGACATATACCCCGAATTTGACTACAGCGGTCATCTCAATACCAGAGTCTATGACAAACGAGATGATTTCAAATTTGAAATTGTAAATTTTCCTCACCTTAGCAGCAATTTACCAATTTCATCTGCATATGAAGTATACATTTCTCAACTTGCAGCTGCTACTCAAGAGTTTGTTAAACGTTATCAGTGCCTGAGAAAAAAATTAATGACCCAGGGTTTTGTGAAAGAACTTCTCGTCCTTTTTCTAAAAATAATTCATTGGAAAGTGCCAAGACCTTATAGATAAATAGTCAGTGTCTACTTGACAAATAATACAGGATGGTCTTGAGTTATAGATTCTATGTGATGCCGCTGTGTAGCATTTTGTATACTTTACAGTTTTACCTTTATTTGTCTTTGTACTACAATGTTCCATTTGACTCTTGACGTGGTTCGGTATATGTGTATATAGCTTTCAAGTTTTTGGAGTTTTGCGTTCCTTTTGCGGGTAGGTTCAGAGATGCGATTTGGACAAATGAGTTTTTTATAGTGTTGTTTTCATTTTGTATACCCTTGTTTTTTTATATTTTACTTATTTTGTATTTTACCGGTAAAGTGTATATGTTATTTTGTAAGGAGCCCATTAAGTGTCATGTAAATATAAATATTTTTGCTTGCCAGGAATTTATTTTGGTGAGCACTGGTTTTAAGAATCGTGCGAACAAATTTGAAACCCGTCCGCTCGACATCAAAACATGGGTTAATATAATATATATATATATGTGTGTGTATTGTCGGATAATATATAATATATTTGTACGAGCTGTAGAAACAGGACGAAAACGTTATTTGTACAATAGTTAGCTGAGTGAAGGATAAAACATAATGAATGGTAGATTTTAAACAGAAATAAAATCTAGGAAAAATTTGTAGAGTCGTCGTATTTATAAAACATGGTATGCCTGGGTAAAAAAAGTGCCAACCAAAGGTGTATAATTTCGACTTGAGTTCGTATTGTGGAATCAATGAACTATGGGGAATGAATGAAGGCTCAAACAAGAATTGATTTAAGTCCTACGTGGATCTAACTGTACTTTTTTGCTCGTGCTTGAGATTTTTTATGTTCTGTGACTTATTTTTACACATTTAATATTTAAAGAACAAATTTCAGCAACTAAAAAAAATATAGAAAAACATAAGATAAATAATTTCCTTATAGGCATAACAAGAAAGAGAGACAAATTACTTTATTAAAACTACGCGTGGGCTTATTCTCACAAGAAAGAGAGAGAGTTTAAATTCAAGTTTTACCATAAATCCATTGGATGTGTACTGATTGATGTTTAGTTTAGGATGCATGATTTTTTTATTAGTTGCTTTGAACTAGCTTTCAATAGGGGAATGTGGGGTACCTCGCCATAAATGCAATTTTAGCAGCGAGAGGAGGCATGGCAAAAAAGAAGGCCTCGGTTTTATATAATGTTCCAAGGTCGACACTTAGAGGGAGACTCAATATGGAAGACATCACAGCACCTCCAACAAAACCACCAATCTTGAACATAATCCAAGATAATATATTAGTCAGCTATATCTTAAAAATGGGAGAGCGGGACTTTGGGCTGACAGTGATTGACATCAGGAAACTAGCATACCAGATGACAAACAAACTTGGGGTACATGGCTTCAGTGAAGAGAAGAAGTCCGCTGGATATGATTGGTGGATAAGCTTCGCTGAAAGACATCCAATTTTGTAGGTTACGAAGCCAGTGGGATTGAGTGCAGCGAGTTCATCAATTGCTAAACCCATCCGTTGTTTCTACTTATTTTGAAAAACTAGGATCCGTTATGGAATCTTTATGTGTTAAAGACAAACCACAACAACTATTTAATGCAGATGAATCGGGAGTAAGCACCGTACATAACCCAAAAAAAGATTGTCGGGAAAAGAGGACAAAGAGGGGTATATGCAAAAATACAAGCAGAGAAGGGGTGAAAATGTAACAGTACTCTGTTGTGTCAATGCTGTGGCACGGGCTTTACCGCCTATGATAATCTTTAAAGGGCAGCGGGTAAGTGAAGCTCTGAAAGGAAATGCAACACCTGGCTCCGAATTTGGATGTAGCAAATCCTCATTTATAGACGGTGATCTATTTGACAAGTGGTTCACCAACATCTTCTTGAAAAAATTGACAGCAGCCAGACCCTTTCTTTTGATACTTGATGGTCATTCATCACACCTGAATTTTGATACTTTACAGAAAGTAAAACAGAACCAGAATGAAATATGCTGTCTCCTCTTTTGTAGATTATTTAATACCGCATTTCAGTCTTCAATGAATATGGTTAACATTTTTAGAGGTTTTCGTTCGACTGAAATGTATCCATTTAATCAAAGAGTCACACAAGCAGAAGCGTATGGGCCGTCTCCAACATCTTTACTAGACACCAAGTCACCACAAACGGAAGACAAACCAGAACATGAAAATACAGACCGTAATAAAAGCACGGTTGAAACACCACAATCTACCCAAAATGAACTTGCAGAAACACAGACAAACACCATCGCTGTCGTCGATGATGTTCAAGAGGTACCCGATCGTCCAGCATATCCGATGATTGACACTATTAGAAATCAACAAGAAATACTCATGACAGTAAATACAGCACCGTATACTAACTCTGCACAGGAAAATTTTGATGAAATTTTAGTAATATCGGAAGTTAAGAAAAATCAACCAAAGAAAAAAAAATAAAAGGATAACAACAGCAAGGCTGTTAACTGACAAGAACTACCTCATCGAAATGAAAGAAAAAATAAAAATGAAAGAACAGAAAGAAATGGAAAAGTAAGAAAAAAGACGCGATCGAGATGAGAAGAGAAAAGAAAAATTAATTATTTTGCTAACAAAACAAAAAGGTTCAACGCGAACAACGAAATAGACAACTGGTGCCAAAAAATTGAAAAAGAAAGCGCAGATGACAAAGAAAACGCAGATAGTGGCTTATATTGTGCATTGGGTGACGGGTACTACTTTGACAACAACAGTGATGATGAGGACTTGATCAGGTGTACAAAGTGCCAAGACTGGTATCACGAGTCCTGTACTGGAAAATTTGGGAGTGATTTGAGACAATTTAAATGTAGGAAGCACTGAGGGTACCAAACGATATTTACAATCGTTTTTCATTATAATGTAATACCATGGCTTTATTTGATTGAGTCCAGTTTAACAATACAAATTTCAATGACATATTGAGAAGCATTTCATTTACAATAAATCTATAAATAGTCTACAACTGACTTTATTGAACAGTGGACTTTTGGTATCTGTGATATTTTTTATTTTAATATGCTTTGAAATAACTGTCATTCCAGACCAACAGGCAAACGGAACAATTCGAAATATGGTGGCCAGTTAACCCAAAGCCATGGGGTAACTCGCCACATAAGATGTGAAAAATCATTCAAGTTCCTTCTCTTATTATTGAATATAAACATACATTTGCTATTGGTATATGAAGCACACTCTATACACTTAGGTTTCACATAAAAATGTATCACCAAAGTTGCGAGGGGAAGATGCAGTAGCTTGAATAGTTCTTATGGTAGCGAGTTACCCCAGGTTCCCCTAACTGCTAGTACTATCAGATCCATACGGTTGTGGCTTAAATCTTTTTTTCCTTATGTATGAATCTGTTTCAAGTTAGAAGCCTGTAATTCAGTGGTTGTTGTTTGTTGCTTTAAATCATATCTTATTCGTTTATTGTTTTGAATCTACATCAGGCCGTTTGTTTTCTCGATTGAATTGTTTTACATTTGTCATGTCGGTGCCTTTAATAGCTTGCTATGTGGCGTGGATTTTGTTCATTGTTGAAAGCCGTACAGTAACCTAAAGTTGCAAAATTTTACTTCATTTGGTCCTTGTGTGAAAAAGAGGGACGAAAGATACCAGAGGGACAGTCAAACTCATAGATCGAAAACAAACTGACAACGCCATGGCCAAAAATAAAAAGACAAACAGACAAATAATAGTACAGATGACACAACATAGAAAACTAAAGACTAATAGGTCTAGGGGTGATCTCAGGTGCTCCGGAAGGGTAAGCAGATCCTGCTCCACATGTGGCACCCGTCGTATGAGAGTTGTCTCATTAGCAATCATACCACATCTGCTTATTGTTATATACATTTGCGGAAAAAAAGAAGATGATAGGGCTTTCAAAACACAGGCAACACTAAGAGGGCATACATTAGGACGATACAACAATAGTGAATATCAAAATGTTTTATTTAGCTTTATTAAATATCATTTTAAAAAATGGCCAAACGCTATTTTCAGTTTTGTGAACTATCAATGGAATTTCAATGTGTAATTGATGGTCTGATACGGCGAGTTATCAAAAGCCGGAACATTAACTCAAAGAAAATATTATTGTCACAATATCAGTATTCAAAATCTAAAGACTATGGAAAACGCTACATATCAATTGTAAGCAGTGTGAAACAGTGTGTTCAAATCCAACTCACTTAACTACAAGAAATAATTACACAACTACACAGTTTCTCATTTTAAACAGGATTTATTTACATATTTAAGTACTTCGTCAGCCTAAATAAAGATTTATATAGTGATGTGACAAATGATAATATCATGTTTCATTTTAATGTTCTAAGCTATCGATACCACTACAACATATGTATATGGAGTTTTGATTTTTCAAACATGACCTGTGTTACTACAATGGTTGTTTATTGGATAAGCTATTTGCTTATTGAATATTTCTGTCATAGGTAAATCAAGCTTGAACTCATTATTGAATCTAAATCTTTAGTTATATTCAAACATATTTTTTTAAGTTATATTTTAAATTTGATACTATCAACTTAGACCATTAGCTATTTGATAGATTGATTGTTGGTTGCTTATCGTCCAGTGGTTGGCTATTTGAAACAATACATGTATACATTGTATATTTGACATACCCGCACTTCAAACGTGCCCTTTGTACGAACGCCTAATCATGTCTTCATTAAAAAACGCTCAAAATGTACCCCCTTGATAAAAATGTGATTCGTTTTGAGAGAGAAAATCCAGTCTCACTTTATTTATAGATATAAAATTAAATATAAAACTGATAAAAAAAAGTATGTTCCTCCAGTAATTATTATTATTTTAAGACATACACAAATTTCATATTGTAAAGTTAAAATATTTATGAAACATCTTTACCACGTATACTGACCTAAAACACCAAATGCACCAATTTTACTTCACTTTGTGCTTAACCGTTCGACTTCGGAGATTAAGTGTTTGTGTATGGTGTTAAATCCCACTGCATTGGTTGCTGTCGAGAACGTTTAACAACTCATGCACCAACAACGGCTGTACCAGGTACGCATTTAGACAATGAAGTATCTTCAGTGATGCTTGAGGTCAAACTATTAGTATATCAGCTTACACGAATTGCCTAAATGAACATTGTATACAGAAATAAAATATAACACATCTGTATGATAAATGCCTAATGAACAATATTTTTGCCATTTTCAATTTCTAAATTTGTCATGGATATGGAAGAAATGTTTGCAACTGTGACCAATATTAAGATTAACACTATAAATGTATGGATGCTTTGTAAAATATACATTTTATAATTCGTTTTAACATCCTTTAGGCTACGACCCTTCTGACCATATCTCCAATTTAACGAAGTCTCTATTTTTCCTCGTTTCTTTAACTCAGTAACTCTTTTTATTTCCGGGAATTTTGACCCAAATACATCGGCATTGATGTCATTGAATAGCAGTTTTCTGAGTACGAACAGTTTATTTGGTTGATGTCCAGTGAGTCAAAAATGTTTATATACCAGTGTCAAGATTTAAAAGTACTTGTTTTAAGATAAGATTTTCATTCCAGTAACTAGATATACATGTAGTTTATGTTCTATGTTTTAAAAAGGGTTAATATTCTGTTTATTTTTTATTCAACATCTTGTATGGAGTACAGTTATTTATTCATTTATTTTCAATGTAAGCTATCTTAAAACTATTGTATAATTAATACTGTATGTATAGCGAGCCTCGCTTTTCGTCCTGTTTCTAGAGCTCGTACAAATAAATTTTATATTTTCCGACAATGTACATATATTGTTTTTATCCTGCAATTTACATCCGGCACTTGAAGCTTTAGTTGTTTAAATCCAAATCATTGTCTCTGTTTTTTTTCAAAGAAATCGACATAGTTTAAACGCAGACCGGGGTTAGGACGCCAAAATGAAAATAAAAGAGATAACGGCATTATTTTTTTTGATTTTCAGATATAATTCAACAAGTCAAATTTGTATGCAATATTTTACCAAAATCTGTGACATAGCCCATTTACTGTTCCTTGATCTTAAAGCATACATATATTATATTGTGTTATTAACAAATGTCATTTTCTTTGTTTTTGTTTCAAACGCCTTAGAAAACCTGAGACAGTTTAGAATATGCCACCAATAAATTTGGATTAACAGATACTATATGTTTCGGGAGAAGTCGTCCGATGAAATTATTCTTTCTTTGACACGTTTTCATTATAATATTTTATTACAGATGGTCATAATGACCACATGTGGGTGAAGTATCGAAATAAAGAGTTTATGCTAGTCCATCAAAAAATGACATGGATGGAAGCTCAGGTATAACACATTCGAAATTGCCTAAGTTAATGAAAAAAATTGTAAAATATGTGGTAAAATAAAAAAAAAACTTCAATTTTGTTCCAGGCAAGTGTAATGAGTTGATTTGTTTGGCTAATGCAGTGTATTAAGCGATATTTTGATAACGTGGCACAGTAATTGAAATTGCTTTTCCTAACACGGGTCTGATGTCACAGAATTCTTATGATATTATTGTTGAGGGAAATTGCAAATCTTATTACTTGACATTCTTTCAGTAAACAAAATGCATAGATAAGATGAAAATGTTGAACAAAATGCTAACTCTGAACTTAAACTTATCTTACAAATTGTAGAGTGTATGTTATTCACTTGGCGGCTTTCTTGCAACTGTATCTAATTCTGATGAAATGGAATTTATCAAGTCAATGACAAACGGTAAGTTCCATTCTCCATTCTTTACATTACAACCAACAGGCGATCTGCAGTTGGTCGATACGAAAAGTCATTAATGATTCTATAAAGCATGGAACTCTACTTGTTTTATGAAATAAAAATTGGTATTTTTCTTAAAGAAATACTTATTGAATATCCGTAAATTAATGTCATGTTATTCCGATTAAACCAGAAACTGCGCAATTCAGTTATGTCTAAATGGTTCTTAAGAACTAACTGCTCCGATCACGCTAATACGTAAAAGCTAACAGCAGTTTTCGTTAAGCTGATTTTCATTAAAAGAAGGAGAAATATAGTGATATATATGTATTTAAAAGTCTATAGAAAACAACCAGCAAATTTAATACACATTGGGTCGTCTGAAGACAATTCCACACACGAAAACACAAGACACAACACGTTTTTATACATATATCAGGCTGCATAAAATAAAATTCACCTACAAACATCTTTTGTTTTCTTGCTTAATTATTAAATGAACTAACCATTTGTGAAAAAAGGTGTGACGAAATAATTATCTAAATGCAATAGTTTATTGACATCAATACTGAACTACATCACCTTTGTACTTGAACAAATATATCGACGATCATGAATGTTATATACCAAGTTTACCTTAATCATAGTTGAGATTCAAAAGCAGGCGCTAAAAACTGTTAAATCAACAGTATTCTCTGAAAATCGAATGTAGGTATATATTCATGTTTTGTTAGTTAACTCATACAACGATTTATTATTTCTATTTTCCTTTTATCAAATTATCTATGAAAACTACGAAAGCCTATTAGGGTCACAAAAAAAAATTATTTATCTCGTAATTACGAAAAAAACGAATGCGTAATTACGAGATTATTGTCGCGTAATTACGAAATAATCATTTTTTAACTCGTAATTACAAGATAATCATTTTTTAACTCGTAATTACGAGATAATTATCGCGTAATTACGAGAAAACTATCTCGTCATTACGATATAATCATCGCGTAATTATGAGAAAACTATCGCGTAATTACGAGATAAGAAGTTTTTTATCTCGTAATTACGAGATAATTATCGCGTTATTACGAGATAATTATCGCGTAATTACGAGAAAACTATCGCGTAATTACGAGATAAAATAAACTGCTTCGCTGAGCGCAGCTGGATACGCCCGCAGAGGTCCAACCCTGAACAGTTGGGGCAAAAATGGACACAATATTCAAGCTTGATACAGGTCTGAATTTGGATTGTAATTAAATATTTGACATATTATAGGTTTCTGAATAAATGTAGTCAAAGAACTTGAAATTGGTTATATGAATTAAATATATATTCAATTAAAGATTTCTTGCTGTTGTGCAATACACTGTGCTGTTGCGCAATACTTAGTAAATCTGTTGTCAGACTATAAACAAATAAAGTTCAATTAATTCTCAATGTCATATTAGAAATTTATGAAAATGTAAAGGGAGCTTACATCAATAGATATAAACTATTCACCAAAGTTTCATGAGAATTGTTGACAGCATTTTTGAGTTATTGTCCGAAAACTTGAAAATCACCCCTTTTTTAATGAATAAAACCCAATAACTCAGAAATGATAAATGAAAAAATTATAAAATTCTAAACAGAGCTTACATCAATAGATATAAACAATTCACCAAAGTTTTATAAGAACCGCTGAAAGCATTTTTTATTTTTTGTCCGAAAACTGGAAATACCCCTTTTTTTATAAATAAAATCCAATAACTTGGAAACGTAAAATCTAAAATTTATAAAATACGAAAGGGAGCTCACGTCAATAGACATAAACAATTCACCAAAGTTTTATGCAAATTAGTTAAAACGTTTTTGAGTTAATGTCCGACATGTTGACGACGGACGGACGGACGGACAGACGGACAACGGTATACCATAATACGTCCCGTAAACGGGCGTATAAAAATGATTATCTCGTAATTACGAGACAAAAAAATGATTATCTCGTAATTACGCGATAGTTTTCTCGTAATTACGCGATGATTATCTCGTAATTACGAGATAAAAAAATGATTATCTCGTAATTACGCGATAGTTTTCTCGTAATTACGTTATTTTTTATCTCGTAATTACGCGATAAATATTTTTTTTTGTTACCCTAATAGGTTTTCGTAGTAAACCGACTCTCCAATAGATAAAAAAACCAATTATATTTAAAAAATGATTATCCCGTAATTACGAGATAAAAAAGGATTATCTCGTAATTACGCGATAGTTTTTTCGTAATTACGCGATAATTATCTCGTAATTACGCGATAGTTTTCTCGTAATTACGAGATATTTATCTCGTAATTACGCGATAAATATTTTTTTTTGTGACCCTAATAGGCTTTCGTAGAAAACCGACTCTCAAATAGATAAAAAAAAAATACAATTATATTTGAATAGTTCAATCTATTTCATGTATTCATTCATCACGTTTCCACTTTTTCCACTTATTTTTCTTCTTATCTTTTTTTTATTTACTCCATGCACAGTATACCCTAACAGCATTTGGTTGGGCGGTACAGACATGTTTGCTGATCAAAGATGGATCTGGATAGAGAATTTAGAGCCAATATCATATAACTACTAGTATATTGGTACTCATGAACCATCTGGAGGATCGGGGGAGAATTGTTTAGTTTGGCTTAACCATAAAGGATTCTTTTGGCATGATACTTCCTGCAAAAATAACTTCAAATTTGTTTGTGAGCGGTAGTTACTTATTCATCGTGTACAATGCATTTTTCCGTTGTCTTTATGAAAGTACAGGCTCTCACTTTGTTAACCAAAGATTATTTGGTTTGACATTATTCAATAATTTTAAAACAGCATTAACCATATCTGTTTAAAAAGGTCAATTGATAAATTTTAAAATAAGCCTTTCTCAGACCGACCTTTCAGATTAAATACAAAAGGACAATAATCGAGAACATTACTTATTTTAACATAGATATAAGAAGATGTGGTATGAGTGCCAATGAGACAACTCTCCATTCAAGTTACAATTTGTAAAAGTAAACCATTATAGGTCAAAGTACGGCCTTCAACACGGAGCCTTGGCTCACACAGAACAGCAAGCTATAAAGGGCCCCAAAAATGACTAGAGTAAAACCATTCAAACAGGAAAACAAACGGTCTAAGCTATATAAAAAACGAGAAACACTTATGAACCACATCAGCAAACGACAACCACTGACCATCAGGTTCCTGACTTAGGACAAGTGCAAAAAAATGCAGCGGGTTTAAAAGTTTTAAGAGGCGCCATCATTCACCCTAAGTACATCTGTTTGGTTTTTTTTCAGTAATGGAAGGAAAAAAGAGCCTTGAACAGTGACGAAATATTCTATTACATGGTTCAAATAAAATACAAGAATAACGTTATTGTGATTAATTTTATGGTTTGAACTGTTCTTGTCGAACGATACGAAAACGTTTGGGGAGCAGGTCAATTTGTTACGGGTAATATGTCAGAAACAATAATGCAGTCAGCTGACTACAAAACTCCGTAATTCCAGGGTTACGACAAATTTAGGCTTTTATCATAAAGGTTCTATCGTCTTAACAAAAACTTTAAACATTTATTTTGTTAACCTCTCAACAGAGTCTGCGGTAGTGTCAATTCCTTCATACTTATTCTTGCTTGCATTAAACTATCAGATCTGATTATTGAATATTCAAAACAATTTCGTAGAACCTGTGAAATTGGCTGAAGTTAATTTCAGTGAAGCTTTTCATTAAGTTAAAAATGGGAAGATTAAGACAATAAAGCTTTGCAGATACAAACGCCAAGTTGTTTTCAACACGAAACGATTGTTTTCTTGGTAATATGTTCAACGTTCAACCTCTCCATCAAATGTCCCAGTCAATTATTCAAATCAGAGCTACAAAAGGAGCTGGAACTTTATACGGACTCTAAGTTAGTCACTGTAAATTACAATTCTGTCCAAAATAGTGATAATATTCTACTAGAAAAAATATTTTGTCATATATAAAGACTATTTGTTGTTAGTTGTTGTTTTTCTCTCTTTGTATGTGTGGTTTTTGTTCGAATAGGGTGTTGGTAGTTAATGTGATCTGTTGTGCTGTGTGGTACTTTTTACGGTTCCTGCATATAGGTAACATAGATCTTACATTGAATTGGTAATAACAAAAAATGTAAACTGTCGAATAAAGATAATTGAGTATATCTCCCAGTTGATACGATATTCCGGAGCTTGCATTTTCTATTATCATTTCCTTGATAGAGGATTGCTGCTAAAAAGGAAGCTATTGAACCAAGGCTTCCAAGTAGTGAGGTTAAAGTCACCCTTTCGTACATTTAATGAACGCCATAAGGAGTTGGTTGATCGTTATATAAGATCTGTTTCACATATGACGACGAATATGTTCCCATTGTCGTAACCACAACCCCGTCCTCGTTCATCGAATGTGACATCACCTAATTACGATAAGGCCACGTTTTGGACCTTGGATCTCGACATTGAAATGGTATGATAAATCTATCAAATAATGTCCTTCGAATGTTAGCACGACATTAGTCTGTAAGATATGAGTATTGATAGTTTTGAAATTTGCCTTTTAAATTTCCATAAGGGTTTCACATTTGTTACTTTTATTGCAAAACTGCAAATTAAAAATGTCAAAATAGACACATTTTGGAGCTTGTCATTTATATTTAAATACGAGTCCATGCATTAGCCAAAACATATCTTTTTATATAGTATGTCTTAAAAACAAAGACGGTATTTAGAATTTCAAATATTTGCCTTTGAGCGCTCCTGGTTAAGTTAGGTCTACAAAAGAGCTTAGGACGCATAAAATTTTAATTTTTATATCAAATTAAGGGTCGATACCGCTCCTGTCCTCGAGGGTATAAACTAAGGACTTCTTGAGAAACTAAGGTTCCAACTCCCTCCGGTAAAGTTGACCTTATATTGATTGCTCGCATCACGGTGCGAAGCTATTAGTTTCATACGATATTCACGCCATCTGCGTTATAAAACAAAAGGATATATAAAAGATAAACAGCTAAGTCAATACTACTTGATACCCCAGAATTGTGCATTAGAATTATTGTGAGAATGATCTGAAATATTTATGAGGCATATAATAACACGTTAATAACATTGCTGTGTACGAAAACATGCACAAGGATATCCATGTGCAAATAAATATTGCGTCAAAATGACTGTTAAAAGTCCCATAACTTTATGGAACGATAAACCATAAAATTTTCAAAATCCAAAACGAGTATAGATTCGCCAATACCAACAGCAGTGTAAAGTTTGTAGTTAATCCAAACATTATAGACCTAGAGTATGCCATGTAGAATATAACCTTTAGTCCCATAACTGTTAAATGAAAAATCTCAAAGTTTCAATTTTCAAATTTCTGCAAAAATGCTAGGGTGCAGTTGAATAAAACGAAAGTGTTATAGGTGGCGTTAAACTCTTCCATACAACACAAATCAAAATACAGATTTCAGTCGCGTTTTTCTTCAGATATCACTTGATGGTCTAATATGACAAATAAACGAATATTAAATATATTTAAAAAGAGGAATAATAGGTATATAGATTTGTAGCTATAATAAATTTCTAAAATATGATATATGTCTATATAGTCTATAAATATGGGCGGAAAGAAAGGAATAATTTCAACGTTATCATTATCGTGATTTAATCAATGGAATAAGTTATTATGATCAATAGTCTTCCTAGTTCGGTGTAATGCTTTAGGTTCAAATATTTACGATCGTCATAAAATACCAATGTCATCGTAGATTATAAAAATTAGAAAGTAACCTTTTGATTTGATCTACTGAAATTAAATAAGGAAGTATGCATTGCATGATTGGTTCTAAAAGACATAATGAAAGAAAATCAATATATCTTATAATATTGAATGCATATAGGGCATTTAACTGAATTGAACCGCCTTTAAACAGTGACAGTACAGTGAATACACATTATATGACGAATCTTTGCATTGGTATTGTCATTGAACACTTGTTAAATGTTATAGAAAATCTTTAGCAGTCAAATTTAACCAAACCCTAACCTACAAAGTATAAACTTCGCTAGAAATGTTACAGAAGAGTTGATATTATCAGATGGAATATTTGATGAAATTTAATAAATTTTGTGGGACAATATTGTGTTTCTATTTGCTGTTTTTACAGTCTGGTAAGATATTATGGTGTGCTGCTTTCTTTCTTCACTACACGTGTGGGGTTATTCTTTTTGCACTTTATATCTTATTCTTTTTGAAATGGATATAGAATAAAAATAACTATGTAGTGACTGTAGTTATAGAAGAAACTAAAAATAAGATTTGTCACTTATGATTGTATTCCCTGTAGGTTAAATACGTAAGTTATTACATTTCGAGCATTAAGGTAAATGGGGGTCTAAATTAAAATCCATAGAATTTTTCAATAATTTGACAACATGTAGTTTATATCATGGCTTTCTCAAATATATAATAAAAAGTATGGATCACGGGGATTTTTTTTTTTTTCAAGCTACAGGTTGTGCAAAATTGTCATGGAAAATACAATTTAATGTGATAGAAAGAAAACTATGCCAGATAATTTTAAGATGAAACATGAAAAGATATCTATAATAATTATAATTGGATTTCAAAATATAAAGAGAAAAAAATGGGGTCATGGGACTCGTTTTCTTGCTTCAAACCAAAATAAGTAAATTCACAACACATTCCAGTATAAAAGTTACATTTGAATTTAAACAAACAAAAAATATTCTGGATTTGTAAAAAAAACAGTCGCAAAAATATTATAAAACACATAACTTTCTTCATTTAAATGAAAAGTCTAACAAATGAATGACATTCTTCTCTCAAAATTTTAACATTTCATGAAAGATCTAGACCTATTGTTTTCTGCTATTTTACAATCCAAGATGGCAGAAGACACCAGAGCTACCTTAATAAAAGTTGGGTTAAAAGAATCTCAATTAATTACAATAGAAATAACATGGAAAAGGATATCATTGTCAAGATGGTAATTCATCATGACAGTCACCCAAAATGTTCATCCTATGGTAGATAATCAAATTATACAGTAATGTCTTCTTCTTCTTCTTCTTCTTCTTCTTCTTCTTCTTCTTCTTCTTCTTCTTCTTCTTCTTCTTCTTTCCGTGTTAAAAACAATTAATACTGAAATGTCTCGTAGTTACTTTTTTTACTACGGGTAAATGGGGATGTGGTGTCAAAACGTCAAAAATTCAACAACTGAGCAATACAACAATCTTAAATACAACTAAGTTTACATACTCGTTTACATAATCGTCAACAGGGATATCTACATTTGTGACATGCTCCTTTCTAAAATCATATGCAAACTAGTCATTATAGTTTTTACGATAATAGGCAAAAACGCCCAAAAAAAAAGGTACAAAATTGTCATGTAAGGGCAATAACTTTAATAAGAAGTCGACTGACGATTTCGGCTATTGTAGATCTTATCCTCCTGGTCCTTTTTGCTATTTATATTGTCTATCTATCTGCTATATTAATCAAGATATTATTATTTTCATAGGCAAACACCAAAAATATGGTAAAAATCGTCATTCAACAGCAATTACTCCAATAAGGAGTCGACTGACATTCGGTCATTAGACTTATTTGTAGATCTTGTCTTGCTGATATTGCTTTCTTTTTAAAGTTTTTATCCGTCTATTACAGTTTATTAGATATACGACAAAAAAATAGTAAAATTCGTCGTTAAAAAGCAATAACCCCAAGAAGGAGTCGACTGACGATTTTACTATGTTGACTTATTTGTAGATTTTACTATGTTGACTTATTTGTAGATTTTACTATGTTGACTTATTTGTAGATTTTACTATGTTGACTTATTTGTAGATTTTACTATGTTGACTTATTTGTAGATTTTACTATGTTGACTTATTTGTAGATTTTACTATGTTGACTTATTTGTAGATTTTACTATGCTGACTTATTTGTAGATTTTACTATGCTGACTTATTTGTAGATTTTACTATGTTGACTTATTTGTAGATTTTACTATGCTGACTTATTTGTAGATTTTACTATGCTGACTTATTTGTAGATTTTACTATGCTGACTTATTTGTAGATTTTACTATGTTGACTTATTTGTAGATTTTACTATGCTGACTTATTTGTAGATTTTACTATGCTGACTTATTTGTAGATTTTACTATGCTGACTTATTTGTAGATTTTACTATGTTGACTTATTTGTAGATTTTACTATGCTGACTTATTTGTAGATTTTACTATGCTGACTTATTTGTAGATTTTACTATGCTGACTTATTTGTAGATTTTACTATGCTGACTTATTTGTAGATTTTACTATGTTGACTTATTTGTAGATTTTACTATGTTGACTTATTTGTAGATTTTACTATGCTGACTTATTTGTAGATTTTGTCTTGCTGATTATGTTTGCTATTTCAAGTTTCTCTCTATCTATTATAGTTCCAAAATAAAAGGCAAATATGAAAACAATTGGTAATTGTTTTTAAGGGCAATAACGCCTATAAGAAGATGTTTGACAGTTTTGATGAAAATGAACAGTGGGTAGATCTCAATATTCAGAACATTTCTGTCTTGTCAGATTTTCTCTATTTATAGCAGTTTTCAAGATAATAGACACAACTTGCATTTTAACTGTAAGTTTTACTTTTAGCCATGTCGGCCACGTTGGTTAACAAGCGGGGTAATCGGACACATTTGTTAAACAAAATACGTCAATGATGATTTTTTATTATCAGCTTTTCCGCGTTTGTATAAGTTTTTTTTTTCTTCAAATATTTGTCCCCGAGAATCACTGATAAGACACCAATTGTCAAAATGCGCAACTGGTGTGAAACAACTGGTAACGTAAATTGTTAGCATTTTTTTTTATTCTGTTCCCAACTCTATTTATATTAGCAATTTCGACAAACAGAATATTTTTTATTTATATTTTATTACTGTTTTTAAGCTTTTGTATTAATTTTCAGTTGGTGAATGGCATATCTTAACAAAATTCTCTTCTCAATCCTGTTCATTATGTAACGTTTGCATGGCGTCGGAATATTTAATTTTTTTTGTGAGACTTTGATAAAACACTATCGGAGTTTTAGAGAAATTCACTTTCAATTGAAATCCAAATATGTTTAATGTGTGTGTGATTTCAAAGTATAATGTATAATAAGACCCCATTTTTAGACCATTGAATTCGAAATTCAGATGTTTACAAGACTTCCGGATGTCAGTTCTGACATTCTACAGTTTTGCCTTACATGCTTGTGTTAGGTTTTCTAATGATAAAACTATGAAATAAACTCATTTTGATATTTTATAACAAATCTATAAATATGGGCCACAGCCTTTTTATCACATAAGGTATTTGCTACAAGATATTTTATACAAAGATGTAACTGTATGGTAAAATCTTTTAAGGTAAGGCTGTTGTTCTCATTTAGGTTTGCTAAAATCTAATTATAAAATGACCAGTAATTTGTGTCACAATGTAATTTTGACATGATGGCATTACATCTGACATTTTGGCTTTAATATCTCCAGAGACATCATCTTATTCATTTATATATAAAATGGAAATTAATTTGAAAGGATAGGAATATCTGACTATTTTGAGAATTTGGTCGATATAAATATAAAATAAGGAGATATAGTATGATTGCCAATGATCCACTTGAGTCATAATGACGTGGAGGTAGCTGACGGCCTTTAACAATGAGCAAAGCCTATACAGTTAAGTTCGCTATGAAAGGTACAGAAAAGAAAAACTACCCATATCATAGCTCCTCCTTTGTTTGAACGTATTTTTGTAACTGACAGTATTAAACCTGTACTCATCACCAACATCCTTGTTTATAACAAAGGAGACAATGTTTTCACATTATGATGTTTTATTATCACTTGTCTATGAGACCCTTTGCAATGAATCATAAATCTATAAGTATATTATGCAATTCAATACTGTTTTACATGACAGACAATATTTATTTAACCAAAGTTAGAAAATAAACTAAAGTATAAACCACTTCAAAAGATACGTTAAGTAATCTCTTGTTTGGTTTTCTCGACAGAAAATAAAACTTTCTTATATATCTTACTTTTTTGTTGCTTAACCAGCCAGTTGTTGAATATGATCAGTTTAAGGTTTGTAAAAGTTAATTTCAAAAAGAAATCTAAATCAACATGTATAGGTGCACGATTTCTAATTTATTTTAACATCTATAACTTTTCATAAACTGACTAAATTTGCTAATTAAGTACTTTATTTTTACAAAGGGGAGGTCTATTCTCACTTTTAAATGTCTTATTTCAGTCTTTCTGTGCGACTCAATACATATTACCGTGATCGTATATTTATTATTGAAAGCTATTTGACATGAAAGACAAATTCTTTTGTGACAGTCATGTTTGTATAGAGTTATAGTAGATATATATGATCATATATACCAAAACATTATTCAGAATTAATTAATTAGTAATAAGAGTAATACATAGATGTGTGCTGTCCAGTAAAGAGTCCAAAGTAACAAACAATTAATCATATTATATATTATATGATGATGTTATATTTAGTTTAATCTATATTTATTTTATTTTTATATTATGGTTGAACGTTATGATTTTAATTATTCTGCTCATTTTGGTCGCCGTGATGGCAAATATAGTATTTGTTTGTTTGTTTGTTTACACAAAACATGATCTATATCATATATGAACACAAGTATTAAATGATTATGCATGATTGATCGCATACAAGTCCTTTACATTCTTGAGTAAGAAGCTTAAAAAATAATTTAATAAGTCCCAGAAAGGATTTCCAACTTCCACGAATCCTTTATTATGATTAGTTTATTTTAAATATAAATTAATGATCTTCTTTAACTTCCTAAAATGTAATAAGACGTTACAGTTCACTGTGTAGAAGAAGAAGTTTTATTTCCATTAAATGGGCTCGAAAAGAGCATAATACAATATAAGACATTAATAAGACAACAACAAAAAAACAATAGTCAAGTATACATACAAAGAAAAGAAAAAGCAGTTTGAACATGAATGAACTACACACACATATATATATACAATATATGTACATTGTCGGAAAATATAAAATTTATTTGTATGAGCTTTAGAAACAGGACGAAAAGCGAGGCTCGCCGAGCTTTTCTCCTGTTTCGCAGCGAGTACAAATAAATTATATATTTTCCGACAATGTACATATATTGTTTTTATCCTGAAATTTTCACCCAACACTTTTTGTACAAGTACAAATAAAGCAAAAATTTATTTGTGTACCTGTTATTTGTATAATAGTTGGCTGATTGCAGGATAAAAATATATATAAATTATATATACGTTTAACAGTGTTGTACCTCCTTCTCAGGCACACTCCAAAATGAAAAAGTTCTTTAAATAAATTGGCAATGTATTGGATATGTTACTTAACTGCAAAAGCCACCAAGGGACGGATCTGCATGGCAAGGTGGGAGATAGACGCACATGGTATACATGTATGCAAATAGACAATTTGATTATGATATTATGAGCAGATACACAAACCTGGTATGTCATCCTCGTGCCTGATGCAGAGGGGTTGATACATATTGTAAGGTGACCCGACTGCAAGAGGCACCAAGGGACGATGCTAAATAGCATGCCGAAGTATACATAGTACTAAATAAAAAAATACTTAAATAATACTGATTGTCAATGATAAAATAAATACAAGATGGTACATGGTTATTATTGATGAGTCTAGGTAACCACCATGCCATCCTCGTTCTCAAACTAAACTGCCAACCCCTTTTATATTCTTCAGAAAGAAGTTTAAGGATCCATACCATGATGGAATTTTTGACTCATGTAGTAATTTTGACTCTAAATATGCCTCCTTTAGTAATGGAAAAGATGAACCCAAATTTTCAAGCCTGTGCCAGTATCTGATCATAGACTTTGCAATGTCAAAATGCAGAGGGAATCTACCTAGTTCAGAAAGAGTTGCAATATTGTTGCCCTTTTGCCAACGCCAAGTAAAAGTTTACAAAATTTATTGTGCAGCCTTTCTGAAAGAAGTTTAAGATAATCCTGATCTACATTTGTAGTCATAGATTTCAATTTTTTTTGAAAGGGATAAAATATCCCCAAATTTCTGAACTATATAAAAGAAAAGGATTAATTGTATGATCAAATACATGAAGGCAGTTTTTTTAAACTTGCATTCAGTGACAGAAAGTCCTTGCGTATCTTATGGTAGGCTTTTAACGTCTATTATACAATTATCTTTGAGCGAAGGAAAAAAGATCCAGATGCACTAAATGTTATTCCTAAATATTTACAATGTTGAGCACAATCAATAAGTATGTCATTAAAATAAAAATTATGATTGATATGTCTGCCTGCCTTGTTAAAAACAAGCACCTTAGTTTTATTGGGATTAGTTTACTCTGAAGTCCTTTTGCTGAAGTTGAGAAAATGACAATATCATCAGCATATAGTAAACAATAGACTGGTCGTGAATTAACAACGACTGGATCAGGCGAACTTTTAAGACAATCAGGAAGGTCATTTATGAAAACTTTAAACAAATTAGGACTCAGATTGTCGCCTTGTTTTACTCCTACTTTAGTTCTAAAGAGATCTGTCACCCTATTGTTTAATCGAACACAAGATTTACTCTGGGCATACATGCTCTTAATGATATTATAAAAGTTTAAACCCACCCCTATATTTATCAGCTTAAGTTTTATCCCTGGGTGAATGACATTATCGAAAGCCTTCTGGAAATCAACAAAGCAGGCAAACACTCTACCTTCTTTTGTATTACAATACTTATCAATAATAGTCTTAAGAATGAACTTATGGTCAGATGGTCGTGCTTTTTTTGGTACACCCAATTTGGCTATCATCAATGATATGATATTTATCTAAGAATTTACAAACATGGTAGTAAAAAAGTTTGACCATATTTTAACATAGTAATGGAGATATTATCTAAGCCGACTGCTGAATTAACCTTTATAGATGACAAAGCAGTAGATATTTCATTTTCAGAGATCCTACTGTCAAGTTCATTAAAATTGCTCTAAAAACTGAAGTCGTTCTTTGAATTCATCTTTTGGTTCTGTTAAATTTTTAAAATGGTTCAACCAATCTGATAGGGCTATCAATGCACTTGTATCATTTTTTTCTTTACCCTGCAGTTCATCAATCAGTTGCCAGTACCGCTAGGGATTTTCATCAAAAAGATTTTCTATTTGATGCAGTAATGACTGTTTATACTACCTATATTTGTATTTACGAGCCTTAGTATATACAAGCTGCAGTTTGTAATAGTGATCTTTACAGCAGGATCTCTGGGATATCTGGAATATATTTTTCCATAATTCAGGAGGTTATTTCTCATATATGAAAGGTTACGGTCAAACCACTTTTGATGTTTTACTTTCTTACCCGAGTGTATTTTACGCTTCTTACGAGCTATGTTAGCAGCTGAGGTAATGACATCTATGTATACAGATTTGTTCCCAATGTTCAGTGAAAGTTCATTCAAAAAAGCGAATGTGTAATTGAGACGGTTTCCATTTACAATCATTGTTCGGATGCAAAGCTTTTGATTTTTTTGTCTATGTCGTATTTCAGGCCCAATATTATTTAATGTTAACCAATAAGTCCGTTAAGTAAATAATTCTGTTAGCAATAACAGCATTTTGGTGAATTATCACATTTTTCCAACTGCATAAAAGTTCAAGTCAAAATCATCTTTTTTAAAAGTTGACCTTAAAGAATCCTGGCTATAATTTTATGATTTACTTATATATAATCTGCTCTGCAAATATCTTTAATTTTTTTTTAAACTTTCACATGTTGTAAGTTGATTCAGCAAAACATGTTGAAATCATCAAAAACAGTTTATTTTGACTTCAAACATCGATTTACGAAAACCTTTAAATAACGTGAATGTAACGTTTAGTATAGTATGGTCTTGTCATCTACAAATAGAAAACATTCAAGATTTGAAGGCCAGCCTTGACGTGTATCCAATAAACCATCATTACTTACATGAAATTATATTTCTGAAGCAACCATTTATACAAGAAACTTACAAATATCGTTGCTGTACATTTCTAAAATCATATTGTCCTGTATCTTGGAGATTTTATTGGCTCACCGACGATTGGGGGCTAGAGTTAATGAAATACTTCATTAATCACTTGTCTGTTTCAGTAGGTACATATAACATTATTTATTTTCTTCAGATGATACTAATAGTTTTACCATATTAAGCACAAACGACTCGTTTTGTATTTTATCAGAAACATAAAATATAAAAAAGTCGTAAATAAATAACTTTATCAATAGCAATTTGTTAATCACGTTATTTCTAAATCTGGTATATTACAAAGGATATTACACCCAAAAAAATCATTCTCAACCCACATAAATAGAATGGTACTAAATAGAGTATTAAGAACTTAAATAGCATGTACCTGTATAACCGGTAGACAAAGACCTAGCAAAAAGTAGGCTATATTGTAATCACTCTGTCTGTCCTTTCTGTTTACACAACACATATTTTCGTCGCTTTTTGTAAAACCGACTGAATATTTGGTCAGCACCGTAAAGGTGGTGAGTTGTAACGTTTGAACACAATATTCTTTAATCTGTCGGACACCTACTTCCTGGTACCGATAATTTGAAATTGTCAATATGTAGAATGAAATTAATATTTTAGTAACATTTTAAGAACAGAATGACTTCATATCGTGGATACAGTTTGATATGAATGACTTTTAACGTTTACGCTTATTTCAGATCTGTCAGACACCTACTGCATGTATTTTCGATACCTTGAATGACAAGAGGTTGTATGCACTTGCTTCTTCTTGTTCTTTTCTAACTGGGGAAGAAGAAAAAACCGTTATTTCCTATTAACATTTAGAATTTTAATTGCAGTTATTTCAATTAAAATTTTGATTTAAACTTTTGTTTATTATACAGATTGCACATTAATAGACTATATTGATGAAGCCTGTTACGGTAATGGAAATAGTGACTTCCTTAGCCCTTCGTGTCATACAGGAGAAGTTATCTATCCAAAGGACATATATACTTATAGTAAGAAAATAGAGACAAACTGTCCATGGATTTCTCATGGTGTAAATAGGAACGAAACATACTGTTGTAGGTATGTGAATGAAACAGAGGACTGTGGTATGAGATACTATGGTGTAAATGGACTAGAGCATTACAGACAGTTTACAGGTGTAGACATCGGTTCTATACAAGTGGCTTGGAACAATACAGATGGTATATGTGATCAGTCCATCTACCTTCCAAAAACACATTATATGAAGATGACTTATAATTGTATAAATAGTAAGTAAGCATTTGATATAGGATATCATATTGTACTAATTTTCGATATTATCTTGGTATCTACGAAAAACACGATAAATAGTACTATAAAATCAAAAATTATACAATGAAAAACGCATGAATTAGTGCTGTGCCCTAACTGTACTGCAGTTGACCTAAAAAAGGACGCATTAATGTTTAAGTTTAATGTACCGGCATGACACACGGCTGGAAATTGTTTTAAAGGATAGAATAATATCTATATTTTAATTTTCGTTTGGTCGTAAAATCTTTCTTTGGTCACATTTTTGTATTTTAGCCTGTTTATGGGGTATCCCACAATTTATGGTTTTGGGTAGTCATTTAAAAATTTAAAAAAATAAATTGTTTATTCAATGTTTGGCTCTATTCGTAAATATTTCGATTCACATATCAGCAAGGGTAAATAATAAACCATTCCCGAATAAAATTTTAAAACTTAAAGTTTGCAGGTTTTAAGTTGGAAATTTAACGTAGTTTTCATTGAAAAGGAGAAAACATATGATTCAAAAACATTATTTAATTTTTGAGTGGAAAGAATATATTATTGAGATACTGCATGCAAATTTTGATGGACAAACTGCAAATAGTTTTGTTAACAATCAAGAAGAAAAAAAAATAACTTTTACCTTTTTTTTTAACTACGGAAATTTTATATCCGTCATTCACATCCATTATCATTAGTAACATTCAATCAAGTTCAATTATTAGGACGTTTTTTTCAACAATAAATTTGATAGTTTTGATGTGATTTTGTACATAATCTGTTAATTATTGGATATTTTTGAGTTTTTTTTAAGTGTTTTTTTTTTTTATCACAAATTGTTGTTCTTATTCTATAGATAAGTTATATTTTTGAAGCTTAAATTTTGACATTTTTTTATTGGTCCTTTGGATAAGATTTTTTTTCCGGATAATGGGTAGTTTTGGTAGACCTGTAAAGTTTACTCCTACTATTTCAAAAAGGAGAACGAATGAAGTTGAGTTTGAAAAATTCATTATGTGTCAATGTTCGTCACAAGAACAATTAATATGCATGCGAGCGGTCGGAAAAAAATATTTTTGAAGCATGGATGCTCGCCGAGTTTAATGCAGAAATGAGATTAAAACTGAATTTACTGCTCCCGAAAAAAAACACTCTCATGATGAAACTAGACTAACTGCCTTACGACGCGATGAAGAGAATGTCAAACTCACCAGCGACTGACAAATCCTTTTAATGTAAAGTCTCATCTCAAGTCAGTGATCAACATCTCAACTGGTATGCACGCGCATAAGGAAATTGGATCATCAATGGCAAAACCATTTGAGGATGGTATAAAAATTGTCAAATCGTTTGTCAATGGTGCGTTGGAAGAAAGTGACAACTGTGCCTTCTTTGACCCAATATCTAGATCAAAAATCAAAACCTTCGAAGGCTTAACGAAAAATTCTAAAATCAAGTGCAGGTCAGATATTAGGTCCGAGGACACAGTTATCGTCCTTTGATTTTTTTTTGGCACAAATATAGTTTTGTCCCTAGTGTGGACAGTGTATAACTTGCAAATTATTTTAATACACTATACCCATTTATTTCTTTATATTTTATGCATGAAATATTAAGTAAGGGGATGAAATTACAAAATTGGGTGCTGAATTTTTATGTAAAATTGTGATTTGGTCCACTTAAAAAAGGTAAAACAAATTAGTATGTATGAGGCTGTCAAACTGAATTATAGACCCCCTTAACATAGATTTGTCCATATTTTGAGTTAGAGCTGGTAAACTTTTCTATAATTTTGATATTATCCCAAAATTAGTACACTACACTGTAGAAATCTTTTTGAGATAGAGGAGGTGCGATTTTTTTAATTTTAGTTTATTGTCAAAAAACAATGCACTACGAAATAACTGTGTTCTCGGGCCAGAAGAGATACTGAATGTACATAAAACGGTAGTTCAGAATCAGTAATCCGTCGAGCCCTAGTAACTGCTGGGTGTCGTGAAGACATTACAATAGGGAAGGTTCTATCACTCTCAATTGGATCTATACCACGAGGACGGCACCATGCTAAAACATGTTATGCCGATCTTTGTCATAAAATAGAAGCATCTCAGCATCAGTTGGCCGTATTATCGATCCGCTACCGTACTTATCAGGGACGAAATGGCCTTAGTACACTGTTAAATGTTCGTGTACTTGGCTCTACATTTCATTCAAAATCAGATACCGGTATCATGCATTACCAATGTTGGTACAGTTGTTGCTGTCTTTGGTGGATATGACATCAAACTTTACATTAAATCGGCCAAAAGAGACCAACGAACTAGTGCAAATTTTAGACAAAATGTAATTTTTGATAGGTAATAGATGGTCGATCTATACCAGACTGGAAAATGCTTTCGAGCGTCATCATGTCCAGTCCCATGGTTTGACTTTGAATTAGCATAAAGTTAACTCTTTCTAGCGGGTAATAATTTTGACCCGATTGTTGTGAAGAAGTTCTCTTTAGCAGAGGTTATGGACTTTCTAGATTAAGTCAGAACACACGAAGAGGCAAATACCGAATGATCCTGCATTTCATGAGAGATTGGAAGGAAAAACAAGAAGGGTCGAATAGGTAAAAAGTCTCCAAGTACAGATGTTCCATTCTTTGTGTGCATTTCTTCGAATTCCCCTCAATGAAAAACAGCCAGGAACTGTGTTTTCATAGATTACCTTATCTGTATTTGCGAATTTTGGGTCCTCAATGCTCTTTAACTTCGTTCTTTATTTGGTCTTTTAACGTTTTTATTCGAGCGTCACTGATGGCGTACCAAATTTTAATCCAGGTATCTATGAATATGATGCGTTTATTGAAACAGGGACAATAACCAGCAATAAATATGGTCGTAGATTCCTCCCTGCAATGTCTTCAGATTACTTGCAAGATTTACTTTGAAACAATAAATCTGTCTGGCACCGAACTTTGTCCGTGTCAAGGCGATGAAGCGTGCAAATACTCTTACCGGATTCGCAAACAAAGATGAAGAGATTGGCGTGTAGCTAAGATTCTTGTATAAAATTTCCTAGTGTGAAGCATTTTTACTGTTTATCCCTATTTGATGAAGACCAGAGCTTATGTTTGTAGCCCTTCAAAGACAAGTTATATAAGGGTCTTGGTCGATTGTCAAATTACAACATTAGCAAATTAACATTATAATCAATCACTTTGCTAACAAAAATAATGAAACTACACATTTTTACCAGGATAATCCCACAAAGAGAATGTTCATGACATAAAACTAATTTTGTTTTACACAGAACCAACAAAGCAAGTTACACCTATAACCTTTTTTTAAATCTCGCTTTCGCATCGGTTGACAATGTTTTTACTTTGGGTTATAACTGATCTTTCGAATTTCAAGTACATGATATTTGTGAATCTAGTACCACATACTAATTTTCTAAAATACACATCATGTGTATGGAAAATGGAAAAACACGGTTTCAGTGTTTGAATTTAGTTTTTTAAAGGAAGAAAAATGACTGAAATATATCGAGAAACTGGTGTTTTACAATTTAGAAAAATAATTTTATTATATGCTGCGGTGAAAAAGATTAGCAATGTAAAAGTGTGTAAAGGTCAAAGCCACATCTACATTTTCTTTCTCATAAATGAAAAAGAAATCAGAAGATTCATCATTGACGCCATTTTGTAATGGCAGCTGTTCATACAAATAGCTAAACTTGTCGTTTTGACACCCTTTGCAGTACATGCTTGTTATTAAATCGTCTTTGTAGCATTCTACGGAACATATCTTAGAAAATTCAATCTTTTTTCTTTATGTTTGAATTTATGATATATATGAGGTTTGAACTTTGAACTCAATTTTGCAAAAATGTGACCACTCTGGGTTTTTACGACCAAACTTTTTTTTATTGCACACATTTTCCTCTTTCCATCGGTATGCAATGTAGGTATGTGTTCTTCCGGTACATTAAAGTTTTAAAAAATGAGCTCTGGTTGCAGTACTATAAAAATATTTACCAAATACAAAATATTAAATTGATAAGTATTCAAACACATCGATAGAGTTTTCAGTTTAATGTGTTTGTTTTGGGAATATGTCTGCGCTTTATATGGAAGATAGGTCCACGAGCTACACTCCTTAAACCTAGATACACAATTTTCATCTGGTAACCGTTGAAATAGATACTAACATCAATAAAATAATGGAATCGAAGGTTATATTGTCCGGTTTTGTCTGTACTTTGATCAGCTCTTCAACGTTTGTATTAGGTTTTGAATTTTCACATATTTTGGTCTCGAGCATCAATGAAGATGCACTAATTGTGGAATTGCGCATCTGGTGCAGTAAAATTGGTACCGTTTATATTATTATAGTTCGATACCGTGAGTTACTAGTTAAACAGACTAATGTATTGTCAAGGCGTTTCCAAGACGGAATGAAATGGTATTTGTACCTTTCCAAAGTTTAAAGTTTAAACAGACGAAAGCAAATCAGCTGTTAATAAAAAAAAGGACGTAAAACTGACAACACTTAAATTAAATGTATTGTATCCTAAAACTGTTTTACTTGAACCCTACCTTTCTTTTTATCAAAATTCCATGCTACTATTTACAGAAAACAATATTATTTTACAGCTAGTCATATCGTGTCAATGTGCAATAGTTCGGCAAGTGGAGATCAATTATTCTTGTGGAATGACGGATATCCGAACTCAGATGGAGGTTGTGGTTTGACTTCCGGTTGTCAATGCACTATTCAATCAACAGGAGGGTCTGGTATACAGATCGATGCTTTAGATATCAGATTTGCAACAAATGAATCCACGGGGATCTGTTCACAGAGGTTATTTGTGATCGACGGTTCTGACGAAAGTGACATTGCTTGTGATGACGTCAATCTTTTTGAAAGACGTACATTGTATTCAAGTTTGACAGATACAGTTCAACTGAGATATGACAATACATACGATGGATCGAATGGGAACTTCTGGATCTTATTACAAGGTTAGTAGATACATGTATGCAGACTATATAATAAAAAGAAATAGAAATTATTTACATATGATTTAATTATAAAAGTAAAAGAAGACGAAATTATTTAAATGTTTTAGGTTTACAATTAAAAGCATTAAAATTATATATATTGTGCATTATTCTGTATTACAACAATGTTCAGTTACTTATGAACGTAAATATTTATTTGTTAAATTTGTTTCTAATAATTGATTTGTTTTCTCAAATACATTCATTTATTTTCTAATCCGGACTGCTTTTCTAGTAGTTAAATAATATGTCAAAAGAAATAAGAAATGTACGTAAACTATCTTTCCAGCCACAGATAACAGTCAAACCTTAACGATAACATGTAGTGAAGTTATTTTAACCAATACTGAATACAATTGTGGTGAAAACTTCACAATCATTTCTCCGGCAACAGAGCCTACCACAACAGATATTATGACAACGAATAGTGAACCAGATTCCACTTCGATTCAAACAACAACAACACCATCCTATTCCTCGTCTAAAAATACACCCCCTGTAACTGAAGTGCTCACTTCAATTCTTAACTCTGATGCTACTGATGCTACTGTTCCCACTGATGTTACTAATCCCACCGATGCCTCCGTCACAAAAAATACTTCATCATCATCCAGTACTTCAACTGGCAGTTCTCCTGGTTTATCAGCACCGTTAGCAAGCACCGAGGGTAAGTTTATAAAACAACATTGCGTTAGTCTCATGTTATGTTTTTCAAAAAGAAATTCACATAAGCAAGTTAGTAACGTCTATACTCTTATACAATACAATAAATACTGATATAACATTCTAAAAGAAACAAAGGGTATTATTAGATAGTAGACAAGTATATATACCATACATACGCTGTTATAAAACAGTAGACAAGTATATATACCATACATACGCTGTTTTAAAATAGTAGACAAGTATATATACCATACATACGCTGTTATAAAACAGTAGACAAGTATATATACCATACATACGCTGTTATTAAACAGTAGACAAGTATATATACACCATACATACGCTGTTATTAAACAGTAGACAAGTATATATACACCATACATACGCTGTTATTAAACAGTAGACAAGTATATATACACCATACATACGCTGTTATAAAACAGTAGACCCGTATATATATCATACATACGCTGTTATTAATATACCATACATACGCTGTTATAAAACAGTAGACACGTATATATACCATACATACGATGTTATTAAACAGTAGACAAGTATATATATAACCATACATACACTGTTCAATTTATTGTTTCAATACATTGCGTTGTCTAGTATAACATAAATAATGATAAGAAAGAAGCAGAGTGCCTAAATTGGTTAACTTTTTAAGATTTAAGGAAATCTTCACCAGTAAATATTATTTGTATGCATTGTAAAAGTGTATCAGAAGTGAAATTATTACGTTCGTTGAAATACGAGGAGTCGCTTTAAAATTAGGAACAATCAAACACAAATATTTGAAACCTAATGATGTATATGTACTTGAAAACGCCAGGAGCCGTATGACCTAGAGGCATCTTCAAAGGATATTCAAATTCATTTAAGGTTAAGTTTGCATGCGGGAGTTTGAAGCTTAGTTCCTTAATAAATTGTCCGTTGAATGTGACCTCCGGTTGTGTTTATATTGACTGTCTCGTCATTTTGGTATTTTGACTGAATTCTGTCTTGTGATCTTACATGTAACGCATCTTCTCATATATTGATATCGAACCAGTTGTGTTACGTTTAATATTGACCTACAAAGTGCAGTATAAAAAGGCACATTTGTTTTTAAATTTTCCCCTAATTGCATAAACACCATAACTTAATGCTCATATTAATAGTTGGACTGCATTTAGCATCATTATCATAAATATTTGAACTTATATGCAATCGTTCCAGCTAACCCTCCTGCAAGTGGTAAGCATATTGAAATGTTTCATTTTGCACATAGATATGTTCGGGGCTAAGAGTTCATAACCGGTCTCCTCTGTCAGTTTGAACATAATCACCAGGTTATGGGTATGCACATCTGTTTCCATTTATAGTGTGATCATCTTGGATACTTTGTTTTTTATTGGTCGTTTATCCGTTTGGCATAATTTGCAAAAAATAGAAGAAACTACTAATTATACTCATTATCTAGGCCACAAAATTTTGTAAAATCTTGTTTTTATTGTTACTAATCAAAAATTTTGGAGATATTTCGTTTTAATTTATACCTATGACATGACGAATTCATGGAAAAAGCGGAGGTGGGTTAGTCAATAGTGATGTCCAATTTAGGGGAGATTAAGCAGGATGTTGCTATATCAACCAGCGTTTACCCTTTTGTGTGTGTGAAATATCAATAAATAAGAACAGAAAGCCCAGTTATTTATTTTCCAGAAAGTGTCCAATCGAAATAATGTCCTCCGTAGAAATGATCGTTTTCTGTCAAAATTTTGCTTTTTGTTTTATTGACTATTTAATACCAACAAAACCGTTCCATACAAAATAGTTTATTTTTCAATTATAGAAAAATCAGCAAGCAAGGGTCCCATTATTGGTGCCATTATCGGAGTCGTAGCAGCATTAGCCGCAGCTGGTCTAATAGGTTATACGATCTGGAGGAAGAAGTTCAAAGGGAAAGGGAAGGTAATTAAGGTTTACATCAAAATTAATAGTGGAGGTACTAAGGTCTACATTATGAAAATGAGAGTAAGTAGGCCTACATTTTAACAATGAAATTAAGTAAGGTCTACAATAAAATAAGCAATAAAGGTAAGGTCTACAATAAAATAAGCAATAAAGGTAAGGTCTACATGAAACAATGAAAGTAATTGTATGTCAAAATAAACAATGAAGGTAATGTTTACATCAAAATAAACAATAGTGGTAAGATCAAAATCAAAATGAGCAATGAAAAATAGATCTACATTTAAATAACTAATGGCGTCAGGTCTACTTTAAGTCATCAAAATAGTTTATAATATAGGTAAGGTCTATATTATAACAATAAAGGTAAGGTCTAAAATATAACAATGAATGTGAGGTCTACATGAAAATAAACTATGCAGGTTAGGTCTTCGTTGAAATAAACAATGGAGGAAAGGTCTGCATTAAAATTAACAATGAAGGTAATGTTACATCTAAGTAAACAATGGTGGTATGGTCTACATTGAAATAAACAATAAATGTATGGTCTACATCAAAACAAACAATTAATGCATCTGTAAGGTCTACATCAAAATGAATAATGAAGATAATATATATATATATGTATTAAGATAAACAATTGAGGCAAGGTCTACATCAATCAATGAAGGAAAGGTCTGCACCTAAATAAATAATGAATGTTAGGTCCACTTTAAAATAAACAATAAAGGTAAGATTATGCATGTGTGCATTAAAATACACAATGGTGGTAAGGCAGGATCGAAATGTTTCGTTATTTTGCTGTCTTTTTCATTCTGATAAGTTAAAATTCATTTGTATGTTTGTTTGAATTTTTAGTCAGTTGTGATGTATGTTTAAACAATTTTTGGCTGCTGGATCCCAATTATTGTCACATTAATCTATTATGTCTGTTTTGGTTGCTCACCCTATATTGTCAATATAACGAAACTATAAACCACTTTCATCCGTCAAGTGGGAGGTTTAGCTAGCTATAAAACCAGGTTATTTCTTCAGAAAATGCCTGTACCAAATCAGGAATATGGCAGTTGTTTTTCACTCGCTACGTTGATTGATAACGTTTGATTTTGTCAGTGTTTTGGAAATCCCCTTTCTGGATTTACCTTGGAGATTGGTATTTTTGTTATACTTTTATACTGATTAATTTGGACTTCTTTTACATCATTTATACTTGAGTGTATAAAAACAATGAATTCAACTATGCCTGTTTGCTAGGTGGACCGTGCATTCACTGTTAACTTTTTTATTTAACTATTTAAAGAATGACAATAGTTATTATTATCCAGTGAAACCACAGGAAGATAACAAGAGAATGACTGAAAACTTGTTTGACCAGTTTATCATACTAAATTTACAACATCTTATTACAAACGCATGGTTCGCCTAGCAAACAACCAAACAAGCAACTTAACGTGCATGCACGAAATACACACCCAATTAGATTATCTGTAGGTTTATGCAGAATGGTAATGTGTTTTTTATTTCTCTCTTACTAGGTAAGCCCAGAGGACGAGTATACGGATTTATTTGACAGTGGTGCCGTCAATAGTCAACCACCAGAAAGCTATAGACCTTTGCCATAATGCTCTTTTGCATATTTAGCAAATAAAATATGTTTAAACTTAACTTAGCAATGCAAAATCACGAATGTGTTGCATGTTTTTGAACAAAAACAAAAGAAAATTCCCAAGAGCATATTATACATTCATTATGATGGGTGTAAAGTTTACATTTACGTTGCAAATTTATGTTTTAAACTTATAGATTTGAAAATAATTTTACTTTATTTGAACCATCGAGATAACATTTTTTTTTTATGAATTATGAATACAGATTTAATTGCTCACGCATTCCAACCTTTTCAGGTAATTCTTTTGATATACTGATTCGATTGAAAATTTGAATATATCATCGTCATGTCTATTTTTAAATTTTGGAATTTTTTTGTACACACACTCATCTACTGTAAACCAACAAATTTTCGCGAGCGATTTATTTTCGCGACTTTCGCGAGTAGAAAAAATAACGTGAATATAAATAGTCGCGAATATGTAAAACTTGGATCTTTCCTTATTTAACTAAATCAAGTAAATTTGAAAATCGCGAAATTAAATGGTAGCGAAATGGACTAGAAAGGGCTAAACGCGAAATAAAGTATCCGCGAAAATAAGTTGGTTTACAGTATATGATCATGTCGCTATTTTGGTATAGAATACAGACTATGGAATTGTGCTACCTTATTTAGGGCATATTTGATAAATGGGAAGTTATATGACTTGGATTGCAATATAATGCTTTGAAGTTTGAATCTTAGATAGGTCGATAGAACTTAACTTTTGTTTGCAGAATCATTCATCAGGGATGCAATAAATCTTCCAGTTGTGAAAAGCCATTAAATGTCTGTATTATCTTAATATCTTTAATTTATCGACAATAGAACACTTGTAACACAATATACTTGTTGTGCTATCATATATGAATTTTCGTATTTGTTCCAATTGTTAATGTTACAAGTGTCTATCGTTAATGTTACAAGCGTTTATCGGTAATGTTACAATCGTTTATCGTAAATGTTACAAGCGTTATCGTTAATGTTACAAGCGGTTATTGTTAATGTTACAAGCGTTTATTGTTAATGTTACAAGAGTTTATCATTTCTGTTACAAGTGTTAATTTTTTTTTCTTCATAATACTATTATGTATCATGATATTTGGTAAACCTCGACACAGTCAAGAAAGGAAAGTTATATGGTTGTTTTTCTGTTGTATTATCGTGTGTTTTATTTATATTGTTATTTTGTTCAAATTGTTAATATTACGAACGTTATATTTTCTAATCATAAATAAAAGTTAATAAAATATATAATGTTGATTGCGGTTTGTCTGTACGTAGTTTGTCGTAGGAGTCGGCCTTTCTTGCTTGTATGGTCTGTTGTAATGTCCAATAAACCGTTTCGGTGACATATGTGTTTCACATTAAGGATGTACTTAGGTCAGGTTTAGGAATTTGTGTCAGATGTTCGGACTCCTTGTTTTTTTTCTTACGATACAGGGTAAAATATTTTGCACCATAACACCCATTTTTCTTTTCATATAAGACTTCAATAGCTCATAAAAGGTCATTTACCAAAATTTGAGCAGATTCTAGATTTCTTTTCTTTCGATTTGAGACCAAAAATATTCCAATGCAAATATAAGGTAAAAGTCCGAGTCAGCCTTTTCCCGCCATTTAAAAAAAAATAAATATCTCGAAAAGGAGCTCCATAACCTTATTGGCTGATTTCGTTCCTTAACTAATGCTCTTCTGACTTATAGTATCAATTCTAAATTCTAGATTTTTTTTAGTTTCACCTAAGTACATCCTTAAGTTGATGACTCTTTTGCATATTTACTTCCACATGAAAAACAGAAAAAATCGAGTAAACGTGAACAACAAAAAATGCTTTAGTTTCATAAGCGATGTAATTACATCGGTTCTCAATCGAATAGGATACATACAAGAAAATGTTGATTTAAATGTGTAATGCTATTGTTTGCCTCTTGTTTATCTTGTTGTCTTCGTTATGTTGTCTGGTCTCTTAATTTTAGTTTAAACAATATTTTTAATTAGATAAATCATCACATAACGATATAATACAATTATTTAGGATTCAGAAACAAGCAAATTTGTTTTTACAAATCTGTCTCCTATTACACAAATGATACACTTAATTTTAACTTTTTTTTACTTGTTTTATTTTCATTGTCGTCTTTATTACTTGATTCCTTTATTGCTATTTATCTTTATTCTATTCAAATTGTTTGATGGTATTATATTTCAAAACATAGAGTATGTCACATTTACAGAAATAACGGTAAGGGTATGAATAAAATTATTTGTTAGATCTGCATTTATGTTTTCTGGTTTTCTGTAGTTTCCGGAATTTAAAATTTTTATCGGAGATAGTAATTACATGAGATCTTTCTATACAGTCTGAATTTAGTTGCGGTTTTGCTTTATCCACATTATTTATAAAATTCCGTTTGATACACAACTTTGCCTAAATATTTTTAAAATTTTGTACAAATGAAAGCATAAAATTAATAAACTAAACACGAAACAATAAGAACAGTTATATTTGACTAAACAATAGGTAAAAACATGGCTGCATTGACGTCACTAAATAAATGTGTCGATTTGGGTTATGGATATCAAAAGTTTTCTATTGAACATTTCATACTTCTTTTCAAGTAAAACAAAGATCTCTCAAAATAGAAAATAAGTTTAATGTGCCAATTAAATTTAAATGACGATATACTACTTTCTTTAATGATACGTACACAATTATAAATATAACGTTCTTTATTATCTATACGACATGCTAGTGAACAAATCAAAAACTGTGAAGATGAGAAGTTTAGTCATGTGATAAATATGTCGTTAACATAGTCCACATAAAGTAAAAATATCCTTTGTGTATTTGGGCGTGCCTCATGTGTTCAATTGGTATATTAGGAATGTTTCTGAAATACTCATATGTGATGACTATTACTACTTAAGTATCTGCTGGTACTTACAAATTACATACAAATGATCAGATATGTATGGCTATGATCGCAATGTTTTAAAGTTTCAATCTCAGATAGGTCGTCAGGAATAAACTTTCGTTAACAGAATCATTCTAAAACAAAAAGGATTTATATAGATTAAAAGATTTCAGAAATCTTCCTTTTGAAAAAAAAATAAATAAATGTTACATTTATGTGCTTGTCTTTGATTTATCTGATCTCAAAATTAAGTTGTCTGAAACTGACCTTTAGCATAATGGCCATATCAAAATTCAAATTTACATTTTGTTCAAACACATAACATTGGTGTTGTCATAATAAAATTCTTGTACTTTTCGTTTATCCGTTCAAATCAAGTGAGAAGCAAAGTTTGCAATTCTTTCATTATTTTTTATTTCTCATTAATATTTCTTGAGTTGTAATGAGGACACGCGCATGTAATGTGTGGTTTCACTTGTTGTATACATATATCATACATATTGTTAGTTTTCTAGGTTGAATGTTACTAACATAAACATAAGGAGATGTGGTATGATTGCCAATGAGACAACTATCCACCAAAGTTCAAATGAAGTGGATGTATGCAATTAGAGGCAACCGTACGGCCTTCAACAATGAGAACAACCCATACCGTATAGTCGGCTATAAAAGGCCCCGACATGGAGATATGAAACAATTCAATTGAGAAAACAAACGGCCTAATTTATAACAAAACTATTTAACGAAAAACAAATATGACAGACATGAACCAACAACAACCACTGGACCACAGACTCCTGATTTGGGACAGACACATATAGAATGTGGCGGGATTAAACATATTAGTAAGTGCTCAACCCTCCCCTAACTTGGGACAGTAGTGTTACACCACAACATAAGAACAAACTATAAAAATCAGTTGAAAAGGGCTTAACTCATCAGATCGATACAAAGCAGAATAATATTCAACAAAAACACAGACCGGACGTGGCAGGGTATTTATACACCCCTGACAACAAAAAAGGCCCAAAGTGCAAATCTGAGAGTATTTGCAGTTACTGACAGCTAGGCATTTATGAGTAAGATCAAAGACAGGTCGGAATAATGTGTTTGGGAAGGATGACATGTCTTCCTGTGGATTGTTTCTTGTGAGCTAGAAAATTAATGATACGATTCAGCGTGTCGGTATAGTACATATTCATAACACATTTTAATATGTTCTCGTCCTAATATGCATGTTATATTTGCCACTGAATTTTAAACACTAATGCATCACCAAAATCGTCATCATCATCAGTCATCTATCATTAAAACTATCATAATAATTGGTTCAAATGTTGTTTCCCTCGACAAAAGATATTGTCTTTATCTTATTTACAAAAAAGAATGTGTAGCCTTTATTCGCAGCTCCTCCTGAGTTGCAGATGTGGTTTCATTTAAACGTTCACACAACTCTTCTGTACCAAGTGACATTGTGTACTTTTTATTTTTTTTTTTTTTATTCAAATTTTTTTATGGATTCATATTACAAAATATCGAGTTTGCCACATTAAAAGAAATAATGGTGCGGGCGAGTTTCAATTTATTATTATGTCTTCACTCAGTTTTTCAGATTTTCAGTGTTTTCCGCAGATTTAAAGAGTTGGGTATGAATGTCTATATACATGCACCAGACAGCAATTCCATGTTATCTGTCGGTACGTATGTGAGCATTTAGTTTATGTCGCCGCGGTTTGGGTTTGTCCACGATATTTTAAAATTATAATATTCCTTTTGATACACAACTTTACAAAGATATTTTAAACGTATTCTATATGGGTCATTTAAAAATGATGAATTTTGAAACTGCTAAATTTAATTAAAGTTACTAATTCAAACAACTCTCTTCATAAGCAAATCAAAACAAACAGTACTTATGGAACAACACATAAAAAGATAATGTCATACAAGAATATATTGAAACATTTTTTCATAGGTGGTGCAATATTTTGTTTCAGTCTGTTACCATGTTCAAAAAAAATTTCGGGTTGTTTAGAAGAAGTTTCGATACAATTTTAAGCTTGTTTTTCATAGCCAATAAAATGGTTTTCAAGAGTAAAAACTTCTATATATATTTTCAGTCTGTGCAATGATAGATTATTTGTCAACTTTCCTTGTTGTACTGAAAAATACCTCTAAAAATTGGTTTTCAAAGGTTATAAAAAAAATTCACCAGCAACACAAGTCTAAGATAGCAATTAATAATGTTCAGCATTTTTTTTTTCTCTTTCTAATAAACCCAACATCAAGTAGATCCCTCGCATGTTGGTTTACTTTTGTCTTGATTTTAGTAACAGGAACGTACGTTAACTAAGTTCTATCCTGTTACCTTTTTTGTCTATCCTGTTACCTTTTTTGTCTATCCTGTTACCGATAGCAGTATTGCATTTGTATATGCTAAATTGCGAAGATTAAGACGTTGTAACGTTTAAAAGAATTCAAACAACCAAACATTTCATTATGTGTAAAACAATATATGTAATTATAAACTTTTTAAAGACGTTTCTGTCAAATGTTGTCTATCCTGTTACTGTAACCATAGTAACCATAGTAACAGGATAGACATAACAGGATAGACAAATTTCTTCATTTAGGAATGCTGGTATGAAATAACTACTCCTTTTGATGAAGTGATAATGTTTTTTTGTGATTTTGGTTTCCAAGACGTAATTGCACTTTTTACAAGTATAATATTGGTGTAATTAATAAATATGTTGGAAACAGCATAGACATGACAAAAGGGTACCCACTATTTTTTTTTCAAAAATGTCTTGAATTTTCTTTTCTGTCAACTGTTATGCAAGAGACGTGCTGTGTTAAATTTTTAGGAAGCTTTGTGCTTTTGAAATTATCACTGCGTAGTTCCATATTCATGGGGAGAAAAAAAATAACGTTTGATCTAGTAGCGATAACCGGATAGACATCCATTTCATGCACGACGATTGAATTAAGTTTGTAGAAAAACATGTTACATATAATAATAAAGAAGCTGTGGTTTTTCGTTAGAGTTATCATAAACATATAAAATAGTTCCTTTTGCAGATAGCAAGGCAATCAGAAAATAGGGGAAACACCATTTGAAATGTGTTACATGTACCCTGACACTGTACGCACATGAATTACGCAAATATCTGACATAAATATATTTTAATCTTATCAAAATAGATCTGAATGATGTTCCGACTCGTAAATTCTACAAACTTTCATTTAAACACTTACAACTGCATTTTCCTTTAAAAATATCTTTTAGCATAGGTGAACTGAAAATTCGACATTTTTTGAAAATGACCCATATAAGTAAAGGAATAAAATTAACAAACTGAACACGAAAACAACAAGTCTAGAACAGTTTGATTTCACAAAAAAAATAGGTAAATGCATGCATGCATTTACGTCATAAAATAAGCTTTTTCTGTTAAACTTGAAATAGAAAATAAGCTTAATATGTTGATTGAATTTAAATGACGATATGTATAGGTTCTGTCATATTATGTATACAAGTATAAATATAACGTTATTTATCATATATACAACATGCTAGTGAACAAATCAACTCTGTGAAGAATAGAGCTATTGGAGTAATGTGATATATGTCGTTCAATATGTACAAAACAAAGCACAAAGAACCGTAAAGTTTATGTATTTCGTTTTGCTTCCTGTTTTCACTTGGTGTATATGGAATGCTACTGAAAATGTCAGATGTGTTAATTATCATTACCTTAGTTTCTGTTGGTACGTACAAATTTTATTAAGAAACAAATTTAATTCATAAGAATTATTTTTAAATTTATAAACTTACAATTCAGAGAAATAGATGTATGTAAGGCCAAAGCTCTTCAATTGATTATATCATTTGAAAGTTCCGTAGATTATTGATTATTCCACTGTATTATTCTTGACTGATGTTGAATTACTCGTTCAGATCTGACAGTCACTGTATATATTAAACTGGGTGCTTTTGTTTGTCCACGACATTTAAGAATTATAATATTCCCTTTGAAACACAACTTTATAATTTTGTGTAATTTTGTAAACTGCTCCTGAACCGCTTGAGAGAATTTTATTTTTACGGAATCTTACTCACATGATCCTATCTAAATGATTTTTCATGTTTACTAAAAGTACACAAAATTGTAAAGTTGTGTATCAAAGGGAATATTATAATTCTTAAATGTCGTGGACAAACAAAACCACGACAGCATAAACTAAACACTGAAATAAAAATGAAAACAACAATGTATAAATTTAATGCGTCCGAAGCGCTTTTCTGGATTTGCCTTCACCAGGAACGCTCAAAGCCGAATATTTGAAAGCCAAGGATTTATAATTACGAAACAGATGATGTAATCAATAATGACCTAAAATAATAGCCAAATCCATCTAAGGCCAACTTTGCTTGAGGACATCTGTACAGACAGACATCATGGAATTGGCTTGTACAAAAGTGAAACAGAAGGACGAACGGACGAACGAACGAACGAACAAACAGACTTCCCAATCACTATGATACGCCCGTTTTAATAAAAGAGATATAATAAATCAAGAATAGAAACACGGACACATTTGAAACGCTTATTTCCTTTTATTTTGATTTTAAGCTCCATTCGAAATTAAAAGCGAGTCGATCATCAGCAATATGTTCTGCATTTAATTGATACAGTATAAAAAAAAAACATTTATGCACAGGTCATGCGTTTTTCAGACTGTTTATGGTGTATTTACACTATATCCGTTGGATGTGTACTATTTAATACTTTAGTCTGGGAGAACATGATTTATTTGGTTTAACCCCGCCACATTCTGTATGTGCCTGTCCCAAGTCAGGAGCCTGTAATTCAGTGGTTGTCGTTTATTTCTGTGTACCACATTTGTTTTTCGTTCATTATTTTGTACATAAATTAGGCCGTTAGTTTTTCTCGTTTGAATTGTTTTACATTTGTCATTTCGGGACCTTTTATAGCTGACTATGCGGTATGGGTTTTGCTCATTGTTGAAGGCCGTGCGGTGACCTATAGTCGTTAATTTCTGTGTTATTTGGTCTCTTGTGGAGAGTTGTCTCGTTGGCAATTATACCACAACTTCTTATTTTTATATTTGTACTGGCCTTCAGTAACTGTTAGTATTTCGGTGCTTTGTTTCTACTGTTTTATGTTAGTTGTTTATGTGCCTCATGCCGATCTTTTGAGTTTAGTCGATTGTTACTGATTTTTATAGTTTGTTCTTATGTTGTTGTGCTGTAACATATACACCACTGTCCGATGTAAGACAAGGTTTGAGCGCTTACAAACATGTTTAACTCCGTCAAATTCTTTATGTGCCTGAATCAATTCAGGACACTGTAGTTTAGTGGTTGTCGCTTGTTCACGCCTGTCATATTTGTTTTTCGTAATTCGTTTTGTTATAAATAAGGCCGTTGGTTTTCTCGTTTGAAACCTTCCATAACAAGGTACAGGGGTGTAACAATACAACAAAGAACAAGGAGTGTATTCTTTGGATCTATGTAAACTCCAAAACCAACTAACAAAGAAACAAACGAACTAAAGGTCCGATGTAAAAGTACTCCCAGCTACTGAAAGGTCCGATGTAAGAATACTCCCAGCTACTGAAAGGTCCTATGTAAGAATACTACCAGCCACTGAAATGTCCGATGTAAGAGTACTCCCAGCTACTGAAAGGTCCGATGTAAGAGTACTCCCAGCTACTGAAAGGTCCGATGTAAGAATACTCCCAGGTACTGAAAGGTCCGATTAAGAATACTCCCAGCTACTGAAAGGTCCGATGTAAAAGTACTCCCATCTACTGAAAGGTCCGATTTAAGAGTACTCCAAGCTGCTGAAAGCTAGTTCAACGTCTAATTTCAACTAATAAATAAACCCTTATAATTTTTACACTTAAATGTCAATAAACAAGTGTCAGATAACAGTAAATATTCTTTTAAACCTATTACTTAACAGGTATATGCACATCTACCCTCGTCGCAAACGTATCAGAAGAGTGTTTCGGCAACACACATAGTAATTTTCTGTTTCCATCCTGCTTCTCCGGCCAGGTAATGTATGTCCATGATGTGTATTCATACGCTAAGACGTTAGATTCTAGGTGTCCACAAATACAGACATCAAACGTGAATGCTTCTGAAGGATGCTGTGCTTACTACAATGCAACAGAAGATTGTGGGATGCGCTACTATGGGCCAAATGGAGATCTTACAATCTACTCTGACTGTAGCGGAAGTGTTTCCTGTCAGAAAGCTGTCGGATGGAATGATACCATAAAAGAGTGTAATCAATCAGTGTTTTTACCACAAACAAATTATATGCAGTTAAACTATCACTGCATTGAAGGTAATATGATGGTTTGTAATTAAGGCGTAATGTGGCTGCTTATAACAAAAATTTCTGTTTTACGTGAGAGTATGTTGCCATGGATATATATTTGATACGCATGGACAATATTTAAAATGATGCATGCACTGAGGTAATGTGGCCGTTAATCGACCGAATGGTCATCTTAAAACGTATAAATACCAAACCGAAACTGAAAAGTTCGGTCCGTATAACTTTGGAAGGTTAGCGAACGGTCTATCTAAACCATATAAAAATAAAGGTAAGGAGATGTGATATGATTTCCAATGGGACAACTATCCATCAGACACCAATGGACGAGGATGTGATGTCGTAAAAGTAAAAGACATTATAAATAACCTGTCCAGATATTAACATAAGGAACATTAACTTTCAAAATGACATAAAGCGGTATAAAATAACTTGGAAAGCCGGGTCAAAATGTTCTGGCTACTACAGGAAGCTAGCTAATGTAGCCATATCTGTTGTTGGTTGAGACATGAATTATTTGTTGTTTTACACTTAACAGACAAAAATAATATATCGTTTAAATAATATCATACCAAGAATTTGTTTTCACCTTGTATTCACTAATTCAAATTCATTTAAGTTCAAATTTTACATGACGAGAATTTAACATGATACAATTGAATGACTTTACTTTAGATGCATATACAAGGATATATATAATACTATGTTACGTATCCTATGAATATAAATTAAGTACCTGTAAAATCAATTACATATTTTCTGTGTTTTGTTTGTATGCTAGATTAAGCTTCAAAATCTATGTTGTCTTTGGTTTTATCTAGCTTGTTCGCTGAGCATTAAATCAGAAATTGAAGAAAATTTACAGTTATTGATTTTGAAGTAGATTGATGATTAAAATTATTAAAATTTTCATATATACTTGGTAGTAAATACAGGTAAAATCTGATGTAAGTAAGTAAGTAAATTATTAATGATTATACATGTATAGCGACATGTTGAATAATATTTTTCATACAAATACATATGTTACAAAAAAGTAAAATTATATTGTTTATAGAACCAGAAAAGTTTTTATTAGAAGTGATCTCCATATACTTTTATGCATAAAATAAACTTTAATTTGGCTTTTCAGAAAGAATTGAAAACTTGTAAATAATCTCTATGTTAAGCCCCCGTCACACTAGACCAAGACCATGAAGATCCCACTACTATCTATAATATGGCTTCATCAAATAAGTTCTCAACCCAAATGCGTCGACACCCAAGATGCAGTATGCAGTATGGCATGTTTAGGTCGTCATCAGGTAAGGGATCTGAATCTGGAAATCCAATAGTCTTATCTTCCAAACACTCCTTTAATTATGACGCGTTGTAAATCTGGGCGTCCGACATAGAACCGTATCATCCTACATCTATCCATAAAAATTTGTAGTCTGCACCCACCAAAGCAAGGATCACTAATGAAAAAAAAACTTTTTAGTTATGAAACAAAGATCCGCTTTTAGGCCCGGCTTCTAATCGCAACATACTTTCCACGTTCCTTCTCTAAAATTCTTTGGCAATAGCTCGACATTCATTTGGTTCTGTTGGACAGGATATGACTTCATCTTTATGTTCCTGTACAATTGCCTGGCAAACCTGAGGAATAAATTACTTATAGTATTGCGCGCGACTCTGAAATCGTATTGAAGGGTTGGATACCTATCGCAAGAAGCTAAGTGTCTTAAGGTAATAGCAAACCGGGATCTAGTGCCTTTCTGAATCGGGTGTCTGTATTCTTACTCTGTTCAAAAATTCATCAAACATTTCTGGAGGCATCCTTGAAAAATTAAAAAAATGACTGTTGATCCGCCATCCTTAATTCTTTCATAAGTCGGTCGTAATACCCAAACTGGAGTCTTCTTTCAACAGAAAGCCAAGGACGCGCCCAACAGGACATATGCTGTCTAGTATATGTTATCTCCTTCTTCTTATAACAAAAAATGTGTAGTCTGATCAGCCAAATTGATTCAGTGCAGCTGAATTAAAGATTGCAGAAGTAGGTTTTGCTCATGTGTGTCCATGGTTGAATTACAGGTAGAAGCTATTGCATCTGTTTTTTTATATCAACTGAGGTCGTGCAATTATCATGTTTGAGACGTAGTAGTATCGTAGTAAGGTCGTACTAAGGACGTGCAATTAAGCGCGTTGTAGCAACGTACTATTGTCTTCCTCGTCGTAGTATAATCGTATCAATATCGTAGTAGAAGCGTAATAAAGACGTAGTGAAATCGGGATAGTCGCACTGAAATCGTAGTAAGGTCGCAGCGAATCTTTTCAATTAATTGGCTTCCCGATCGCACCACGATTTCCAATATGACGCTTCTACACCCAACCCGATCTTACTACGTCCTTACTACGACCTTCCTACGCTTCTACTACGACTAGTGTTGGCCACGACTGCACTACGAATGTATTGAGCATGTTCAAAGTTGGTCTTCGACCTCCACGATCACAAAGAGATCTTTGCACGTCCTTAACACGACCACCTCGATCTAACTTCGACTTCCAAAATATTTCATAATTTCTGAGGTCGTAGCCGGATCGTCATCTTCGCTAGCCAAGGGTTACGATCCAGTCCGCAGTCTCGAGGGGGACTGGATCGTAACACCTGGCTAGCGAGGATGCGGGATCGTGGTCATAGTGTAATGGGGGTATTACAACAAGCGAGGTACATCGCGCGTTATCACAGTACGTTGCAAAGGATCAAAGCCAATAAGAAAAGAGTTTTAAAAAATTAGGATATTTTGAAATAACATGCAAATATGATATATATACTAAATAACTTAATGGCTTGTTTTGAAAAAGGCTATGACAGATCCCAGCAGTGTGTCCCATTAAAATAATTTGCCTTTCACGTTAATAGATATAAGAAGATGTGGTATGAGTGCCAATGAGACAACTCTCCATCCAAGTCACAATTTGTAAAAGAAAAAACATTAAAGGTCAAAGTACGGTCTTCAACACGGAGTTTTTGGCTCACATCGAACAGCAAACTACAAAGGGCCCCAAAATGACCAGTGCAAAACCATTCAAACGGGAAAACCTACGGTCTAATCTATATACTAAACGAGAAACAAGAACACTTATGAACCACATCAACAAACGACAACTACTGAACATCAGGTTCCTGACTTAGGACAGGTGCAAACAAATGCAGCGGGTTTAAACGTTTTAATAGGTACCAAATTCACCCTTACCCGTAACAATAGTGTAACATATGACCTTAAAATTTAACATTGAAAGGCTAAACTTGCATTGAGCCTTGTTTAGGCCCTAAAATAGAAAATAAAGAGATGTGGAGAAAATGTACATGGGACAACATAACACACAATACATAGAAAAAATGAAAATTATCAATGAACAGGGCTTTTATTCCTGTTCTTCATCTTGAAAGTAGCCGGAGGGTCTTCATCGAGGCAACGAACCATTCATACCCTAAAAACAACAGCCACACACCTGACTATGTGGATTACAATGTTTTGCTTTATCCTACATATGTCTTTTGATGTTGTCCCTAAATACTAAAAGTCTTACACTGAATCTATATACTTTGATATATTGTCGAAAAAATAAAAAAAACAAAACTTGCGTTTGAGATTAAGAAAGGATCCGAAAGAAACGTTCAGAATGCACGATTTTGCGTCATTTTTTCCAGATCTTTTGGGGGCCTTGAGCCCTAGACCCCTAGCCCAAAATATATTTTGCTTCACTTGTAATAGAGGCTAGTTACGGCCATGTCTTATCATCTTAGATCAACCTTTCTAAAATTAAAAGTAAAGATCACGCACCCTTATTGTTCAGATTGATAAAGACTTTTGCATCCGTCGACATTAACTTCGATTTAAATACTATAGATCTGATAACCGCTGTGCATGTATACTTTAACGACTGGGCTAGTTTTCTTATCAGTTTTAAAAGTAGTAACCTCCCTTGTTAATGTGATGTTGTAATCAATCTATCTATTTGTACCATACTTATATAGTATTATATTGTTCAATTTAAATTTATGATTCGTTTAATATTTTAAATATAATATTTTTTTTTAGTAAAGATATAAACAAGGTAATTTCAAAGGCTTTGATTCATTTATCACCGTAGTTCAATTCATAAGTCAGGCGAACGCGGGTCTATTTTGTCTACATTATGTTGAAAGAACACCGGGGTGTTTACATTGGCATTATTTACTATCAATGACTGTGAAACAAGAAAGTAAAGCATTGTAAATAATAAAACGAGAAATAATTAAAATTACATACAAAATTCATCATTAGTGAAATCAAAAACGAAAAACGGAAACACTTTTTATTTTCATTTTGGTTTTAGAGAAACCAAAAACGAAAAATGAAAACACTTTCGTTTTCCGTTTTGGTTTTAGAGAAATCAAAAACGAAAAACGAAAACACTTTTGTTTTTCATTTTGGTTTTTGAGAAATCAAAAACGAAAAATGAAAACACTCTCGTTTTTTGTTTTTTGTTTTTGATATTTTAAAATGAATAACGAATTGATGCAAATATACACGGACTTAAAGGGCCCCAAAAATGACTAGTGTAAAACCATTCAAACAGGAAAACCAACGGTCTAATCTTTATAAAAAAACGAGAAACACTTATGAACCACATCAACAAACGACAACCACTGAACATCAGGTTCCTGACTTAGGATAGGTGTAAACAAATGCAGCGGGTTAAACGTTTAAATAGGCGCCAACCTTCACCCTACCTGAAACAATAGTGTAACATCACAACATAGAAAGACACACTATAAAATATCAATAAGTCACCACTACAGCGGTGTTCGTTGCATTATAGATAAACTTGTTATTCAGCGGCGTTCGTTGTATTATAGATACACTTGTTATTCAGCGATATTCGTTGTATTATAGACAAACTTTTTATTTTCAGAGATAGAAATTTGTAGCATATGCTCTTGTAATGCGTCTGGGACTTCATTATACATATGGAATGGAGAGTATCCAAACGCTATGAATGACTGTTCTTTAACATCTGGATGTTCCTGTTCAATAACATCAAGTTCTCAAATACAATTAATTGCTTTTGACGTCCGATTTAAAATGAATTCTACCACTGGTGACTGTGCTCAAAGACTACACATACAAGATGATGAATCTGAATTCGACATTGCGTGTGATGATCAGAATGCGTTTGAGAAACGAACGGCTTATATAAGTACATCTAATCGCATAAAACTCAGGCTTGATAACAGTTTGGAAGTGTCAAATGGTTATTTTTGGATTCAAGTACAAGGTAAAATAATGAATTTTTGCGTAAGGTCATTTCGTATTGGACTGTAAAAACAATACATTGAATCAGTTCTAATATTGATTCCGTTTAAAAATGTTCTACTTGCTTTGATAAGAATATCTTGGCTCATTTGACACAGTTGAATGGAGATACTAGTTTTCTATTAACCGGTATCCCTAACACGTACTAATGTGCAAGGATCAAAGCTTGTATCTATGTAAGCATAATTTTATAGAAATATTAAAACAGGTTTTTATATCAATCAAAGTTGAAGGAAAAGATAACAATAACAAACTAAAAAAACAAACTTACAGAAAAATAAACAAAACTAAGACAAAAACGTAACAAAAATAAAAACAAATAACGAAATACAGGGTAAAACAACTATATCGATCTGATGAGTTAGGCCATTTACAACTGATTCTTAGTTTTTTCTTATGTTGTGCTGTAACACCACTGTTCCAAATTAGGGAATGGTTTAGCGCTCACAGACATGTTCGACCCCGTCACATTCCTTATAGGTGCCTGTCCCAAGTCAGGAGCCTGTAGTTCAGTGGTTGTCGTTGGTTCATGTCTGTCATATTTGTTTTTCGTAAATTATTTTGTTATAAATTAGGCCGTTAGCTTTCTCAATTGAATTGTTTCATATTTTTATAGCCGACTATACGGTGTGAGTTTTTCTCATTGTTGAAGGCCGTACGGTTGCCTATAATTGCTTACATCCACTTCATTTGAACTTGGTTGGATAGTTCTCATTGGAAATCATACCACATCTCCTTTTTTATATACAAACAAAACAAACTGAGTTTTACTGTGCGTATTGCTGTGTGTTTGTTTATTCTACATTGGCTAGAGGTATAGGTTGAGGGTTGAGATTTTACAAACATGTTTAACCCCGCCGCATTTTTGCGCCTATCCCATGTCGGGAGCATCTGGCCTTTGTTAGCGCACACAGAGAACAAGTCTTGTATGTTTTTTAAATTTTAGTTCATTTATATGTTTCGGAGTTTAGTGTGAGGTCCATTTTCACTGAAATAGTACACATTTTTGTTTAGAGGCCAGCTGAAGCCCGCCTCCGGGTGCGGGATTTGCTCGCTGTGTTGAAGACCTATTGGTGGCCTTGGGCTGTTTTATGCTCTTTGGTCGGGTTGTTGTCTCTTTGACACATTCCCTATTTCCATTCTCAATTTTATTAAGATTTGATTATGAAATTACTATCATGGTCGTGCTACTGTTGGATATGGGTTAAAAGTAAAGTTTAAGTCTTCAGGGACATCTAATAACCAACAAGTATGTTAAAAGAGTATAATTCAAAGTTATTGTATTACAAAGAGAAGAAAAAATCAATGGATTAAAAAGGACGGGGATGTATAAAAGTAAAGCCAGAACACAAATAACAACAAAGCTATAAACATGTGCAACAAACAACCTTAAAGTTAGACAACACGAAATTATGTTAAACTAGGAATACAATTAAATTTTCAAAAATATTTTGTTGTAAAACAGGTGTAAATGAGACAACCCAAGCACCTACTAGGAAATGAATATCACAGAACAGTCCTTTTGTTGCTGTTCATCGTTTGTTTAACGTTTGACAGCTGCTCGGAGGTCTTCGAAGATGAGCTAAACAGCGCCTAGCATCGAACTTAACGGCACACTTCTATGATCATTATTACGGGATACAAATATGTCTGAAGGTTTATATGGACTTATTGATAACTTGTATATGGGACTATTGAAGTCTTGTCAAACAAAACTATGACTAAGAGTCTTCATTAGAAACTTTAAAAAAAACATTGAAATATATTTTTTTATGAAATCCACGAATTATCAATTAGAGCAAAACTGTTCAAAATATCTATTTTCTTTTATTTAAAATTAGTATATTTTACAAACAAAAATGTTTTTTATAATTTTCAGCGTTTGACGGTACTGATACGTTAACCTTAACATGTGGTAAGGAGAACGCTACATATGGCTGCAATGATAATTTTACAATTATATCGGAGAACGTCACAGAATTTATCCTACCTGAAAAAGACAGAAGGGATAGCGCCGCCGAGAGTGGTAAGTTATAAAACTAACCTTGGCTATAGAAATACACAACACTTTTCTCTACATGTATATCCTTTCTAAAAAGTATCTCAAAGTTACGGTATTGGAAAATAATGGGGTCTTATAGTAAAATATAAACTAAGCGGTGAATCCATTATGCGTGTGGGAGGGAGGGAAGAGCAATGATTTCATTTCACTTCAGTTTTAAAAGGATAAAAGCCGCTTACCAAATTAAAATAAACGTAGAATGTCTTAATTAAGTGGAAAATTCATATTTTGCTACGGATAAAATTTATGATTCTAATTTTGCAATAACAGGTATTGTATGTATATCTTACAATTACAGCTACATGTATTTCGCAGGTAACAGCGGGGGTATCGGTACTATAATAGGAGTCGTTGTCGCAATGATTGTTCTTGTGGCTATGGCATTGCTAGCTTTTAAATTATGGAAGAGATATAAAGACAAACATACGAAGGTGAGATATGTTCAGATTTCTACTGACATTTACCCGTTAACAAGATCAGTGTTTTTTTCTCTATGTTTTTATAGGCAATGATGTATATAAAAAGTACTTTTTAAAGCTATAAGTTATATGAGTAGACCGCGCGAGTACCTCATGGGTAGTAATGGCCGTTAAACACCCCAGTAGAAGTGACTTTTATTTTGTCACCTCGTACTTAGATATATAAAGTTATCTAACTATCGTGTCATTTCCTCTAATAAAATGATAATAATAACTTGAATTGCTTTTGCAAGGAATAGCAGATGTCACCATACTCAATTACCACTAAGCGGCAGCTATTTCGAAAATTTGAAACAATGAATGCACATATATAGAAATATGAAGATGTGGTATGAGTGCCAATGAGACAACTCTCCATCCAAGTCACAATGTGTAAAAAGTAAACAATCATAGGTCAAAGTACGGCCTTCAACACCGAACCTTGGCTCACACCGAACAGCAAGCTATTAAGGGCCCCAAAATGACTAGTGTAAAACAATGCTAACAGGAAATATGCATGGCTATACATTTTTCTGTAAGTTTTCAGAGCATTTAGATCATTTTGAAATGTTTCACATTTTTGCTGTTTCCATGGCAACGACAGTAATATTGTAATTCCAAATCAAATAGCAACTCTAGATATTTTTGTAAAGTTTCATTAAGTTTGGAGCATTTTGAAATATTTTGACATTTTTGCTGTTTCCATGGTTACGGCGACCATTTCCAAAATTCCAAAGACACATGCCACATTAGCACATGACAGGGAACATACCATTAAAGTTTCACCTACCATGCTAAGCGAGTAAATGCTACTTTCAGGTTTTTCTCATAGGGTTCAATGGTTAACTCTTCCCCTGTTTCCATAGCAATGGTGGCCATTTTAATAATAGTCGGACATCATATTCAAGACAATTCTCGCTTGATGCTGCAATTGTAGAAAGATTTGTATGTATTGGGATATTTCTATTCAAAACAAATCAAATCTATCTGCGATTAGTTGTATGAGCCACGCGAGACCCTTGTTGGTAGTTAATGTCATTCAACATCCCCTAAGTAATTACTTTTCTTTTGTCACCTCGTGTCATTTCCTCTTGTAAAATAATAGTAATGATAACAGGAACAGTTGTCGGATATCATATTCAACCCAATTCTCACTTAATGTTTAGGTAAGTCTTATATATATTAGGATTATATTTTATTCAAAACAAATCAAATCTGCAAATATGAACAAATAATTTGTTGTTGGATATACCTGACCAGAACGTCTAAATGAACATGTACTTGCAATAGACACTTGTCTATTACTGATGACCGAGCGTTGACTTCTAGGATCCTCTTAAATTGTGTTGTTGGGTTTCTCATTGAGGCATATTCAGCATCTCGGTTGTCTTCATATAAAAATAAAGGGATGTTGTATGATTGCCAATTTGACAACTATCCACCAGAGACCGAAATAGCGTGGAAGTATGATCTCTTTTTCTTCATATGCATATTTGTGAATTTGTTTCTTGCAATAAGCTCGTAACACTTAATTGTAGGTACTTTACTTGATAATCTTGCTTTCAATGAAATTAGAATTTTTATCACTGTGATGTTAATTTTGTTTTGTTTGTATGTTTTAAGGTGGACCCGAAACCGGAACCAGAGACAGATACGGACGATGATGATATGTTTAATAACAACGACGAAACACCAATAACAAGCCGTGCACCTGAGTCTGTACTTATCCGCATGAAAACAAATGTATAGGTCAAAACACTAAGACTGCAATATTCAATTCATTGTACCAATGATCTTAACATTGTTAATACCGCATCATTCTCTTACTGCTTGTCCCAATTCAGAATCATGTAGTTCGGTGGTTGTCGTTCTTTGCAGTCTGTTATATTTGTTTTTCGTTTATCGCTTTGTAATTAATATTGATTGTATTTTGTGGGAATTGTTAAATTTTGTTATGTATGGACCTTTAATAACTGACAATATGGGATGGGGTTTGCTCATTGTTGAAGGTCGTACGGTGACTTATAGTTCATTAAATGCTCGTCATTTGGACAATCGCGGATAGTTGTCTCATTGGTAATCATACCATGTCTCCTTATTTTATATGTATATAATATCTTAATTCATTGGCTAATGTGTATTTGAAGTATGAATAACACTGCTGCACGCTATGCATTTATCAATTTTTATTAAGTACGCCATTTATAACTTTTTAGCTCCAATATTCCAGAAAAAAAAATTAAAATACATATCGTACACGGCAAACCTAATTTAATTCACATTTTAACACTACCGAAGGGATTACGCGGATGGCTATTTTTCTTACGATGGGCAAAGAACGAAACAATATGTAATTTTGACCCTAACATTGTCTTTTACAAAGTTTGCCTTCATGTCACCAAAATATGTATGTCCATTATCAATGACGTTTCGTATTGGTACATACATACATATTAAGATAGTAAAAGGTTGAAACCATAATATAAAACTTTAATTATATACTTTTCTTGCATTTAAGTTAATGAATATATATATTTCATTTTCTTTGGGCATTTTTCTTGTCTCAATTTACAGAAGAAATCCGTTTGGGCCAAAAATGCGTCCTTTTGCGCCACAACTTATTTGCGCCAATGCTTCGTTTGCGCCAATGCTTCGTTTGCGCCACTAGCTATAGTTTTTAAATTACATAGTATATTTTAACCAAAAATAAAGTATACGATATATTATTTATTTGTTTTTGTGACTAACTTTAAATTTCTCAGAGCATATTGTATTTTTATTTTTAAGTTATTATTTTTGAAGACATATTAGAATCAGCAATGTTGCTTGTGTCAGGATCCTATTTGTTCCCACTGTATGATCTATATTGCGAGATTTAATATATTGAATAAGATACAATTTATACAGATTATCGGTGTGTATTCTGAATTAACAAGTTTCATAACAATATTGCTATTACATTTAGGATGTGATATCATGTTTGTAACAACATTGCCGTTACATTTAGGATTTGATACCTCGTTTGTAATAACATTGCCGTTACATTTAGGATATGATATCCCGTTTGTAATAATATTTCTGTTACATATAGAATGTGATATCTCGTTTGTAATAACATTGCCTTTACATTAAGGATTTTATATCCCGTTTTTAATGATATTTCCGTAACATATAGGATGTGATGTTCCGTTTGTAATAACATTACCGTTACATTTAGGATGTGATATCATGTTTGTAACAACATTGCTATTACATTTAGGATTTGATATCTCGTTTGTAATAACATTACCGTTACATATAGGATGTGATATCCCGTTTGTAACAACATTGCCGTTACAAATTAGGATGTGATATCCCGTTTGTTACAATACTGCCGTTACTTTTAGGATGCGATATCCCGTTTGTTACAATACTGCCATTACATTTAGGATGATATATCCCGTTTGTAATAATACTGCCGTTACAATTAGGATGTGATATCCCGTTTGTTACAATACTCCCGTTATATTTAGGATGCGATATCCAGTTTGTAACACGATTGCAGTTACATTTAGGATGTGATATCCCGTTTGTAACAACATTGACATTACATTTAGGATGTGATATCCCGTTTGTTACAATACTGCCGTTCACATAGGATGCAATTTCCCGTTTGTAACAATACTGCTGTTACATTTAGCTGTTACATTTAGGATGTGATATCCCTTTTGTAACAACATTGCCGTTACATGTATTATGTGATATCTCGTTTGTAACAATACTGACGTTATATTGAGGATGCGATATCCCGTTTGTAACAACATTGCCGTTACATTTAGGATGTGATATCCCGTTTGTTATAACATTGCCGTTACATTTAGGATGATATATCCCGTTTGTGATAACATTGCCGTTACGTTTAGGATGTGATATCCCGTTTGTAAAAACATTGCCGTTTCATTTAGGATGATTTATCCCGTTTGTAATAACATTGCCGTTACATTAAGGATGTGATAAACCGTTTGTAACAACATTGCCGTTACATTTAGGATGTGATATCCCGTTTGTAATAACATTCCCGTTACATATAGGATGTGATATCCCGTTTGTTACAACATTGCCGTTACATTTAGAATGTGATCCCGTTTGTAATAACATTTCTACAGGTACATCCTAACTTCAAAACGTCTTTGTATCTAAGAAAGAATTTAGTGAAGATTTTGCCGAGTTATGTGTGGTACCGAAATTTCCTGTTGAAGGATAAAAACACCGTAAGAAGAAAACAAAGAAGTTTACGTGCCTTTTTCTTTTCTAATTAATTGAATGTCCATATGGAAGTTGTGCTAAATAGTTTCCAAATATCTGAATTGTCAAACGTAAACGTTCCTCACTTCGTCTATAATTGAACAATGGTTTATGGTTAGATTTAAACCATGTTGTACGTGGTTTTCTGTTTGATATAACCATTGGCCTCAGACTTGTTGTCAACATTTTACCTGAGGATGGTTAAGTCAGCGAATGTATTTTTGCGAATGGGAACGTGGTTCCCATGATTTTGGCCAGCAACTAATAGATAAGTTCCTAAATAAAGCTTCAAAATTTAAATGCATTGTCCTCTAGCTCGCATTTAGGTGTCATATCTCTTTTATTTAGGGTAATATAATAGGTCTCATGGCAAACGTATCAATCGAAGTCAACGAATTAAACATCTTATAAATCATACACAACGATCTCCTATCTATATTTAAAAACAATAGTAGGCAACAATTATTATGCAAACTGGGTCAAAAAAACAATTAATAAATTAGTACATGATATTTCAAGAAGTGTGACACAATCTCGTTTTTCAGCCCACTCTATGAATGTACGCGTATAATTACAGCTTTTTATGACCATATAAGAATGAGAAGATGTGGTATGATTGCCAATGAGACAATAGGCTGTTCCCGCGTATTGATTAACCTGAAGATCAGAAAAGGCATTTTCTGAAAATTAAATATATTAACAGAAATACTGATTTTATCAACTTATCTAGTATATTTAATGACTCTACAATTCAAAACTTTGTACCTTCGTATTTTGATAACACAGAACCACCTATTATTTCATATACATACAAAAAAAACCAGGAGAAGTTTTTTTTTAAATTATACGTCAGTAACATCAGACGTCAGTGTAGAAAATAATAATTCTCTAACACGAGACGGTCAATTGTCGAATTTTGAATATAATCCCTATGGCCACGTTATTACGGGGACTTCAATATCGTTCAAGACCGAGAAGTTAAACACTTTTTTCAAAGGACCAAAATATCGTTCTCCATCTAAAATAGATTGGAACAGTTTCGTCGGGTCATAAAAGACGCTCTTTTGTCGTATTGTAAAATTTGGTGTAAACGGGAAAAATCTGATAAAAAAATCTCGATTCTTAATCAAATAAATGTATGAATGTTGTTGATATTCGAATATCACATTTTGTAAAAAAATAAATAAAAGAGTACATAATACGCCTTTTTCTAGTAAAAGAAACAAACTTCAAGTACTCGCAAAGCGGTTTGTGTTTGTACCGGCCGACAAAGCAGCCAACAATGTGGTGGTGGTATGACGTAAATACTACACGGAAGTTCTTAAGAATGAAATTATCAATTCTTCTACATTCAGGTCCGTGCGCTCCACTGAACATTAGAAGGTCCCTACTATGTATTGGTTACCTAAACTACACAAAAAACCCTGTAAAATATCGTTTCATCTCGGCCTCTAGTAAGTGTTCTACAACTAATCTTTCAGTGCTTTTAACTAGTTCCTTAACTAACTTTTCATTAACTTTTGTCATAAAACATATGAGAATAGTGGAATTAACTATATTTGGAGTGTAAAACATTCTTTGGATGTTTTAGATAAATTAAGTGCTTTTGGTTGTCCTCTTGATTCTGTTGACAGTTTTAACTTTTCACTCTTTACACTACACTTCCACACAATCTTATCCAACAAAAGTTCTCCTATTTAATTAAATGGTCGTTTGAAAACTTTGATTACAAATATATTTGCTTCACTTCACTTAAAGCCTTCTTCTTTAATGAGAAAGGTAAATATGCTAGACATACCTACTGGAGATGTGATGAGATGATTGAAGCTGTTAATTTTCTCCTTGACACCATTTGTGCACGTTTCGGGAATAAAGTTTATCGACAGGTTGTAGGTATTCATATGGGCACCAATTGCGCCCCTTCAATAGCAGACTTGTTCTTGTACTCAGTAAAGACCCGTCTAAATTCCATTTAATTGAAAAATCCAACAACACTTACCGTTATCTTGGTGATATATTTACCTCAATGGACTTAATAAATTAAATATACATGATAATAACTGTCCTTTACTAGATTTAAATATTTCAGATTTACACAGGAAACTCTACACAAAAAAATTACAACAGGGACGATTTCTCGTTCTCTATTGTTAATTGTCCTTTTTTGGATGGGGATGTTCCTTTGGCACCCTCTTATGGTGTTTATATATCACAACTCGTTCGTTATGCCCGTGTCTGTAGTGACGTTTTGGACTTCAATTAACGTAACCTATACATTACTGGTAAATTATTAAGTCAGGGGTTGATGCAATAATCAAATGAGTACTCAAAAAAGGAGGAATATACCAAGGGGACATTCAAAAATCATATGTCGAGAGAAACTGACAACCCCATGGCAAAAAACGAAAGACGACGAATAGACAAACAAGTTCACAAAGCACTTCATATGACACTTAAGCAACACAAAACCCACCATAAACTGGGGTTAATCGCAGATGCTCCGGAAAGAGTACGAAGATCCTGTTCCACTAGAAACACCCGTCGTTTATTTATTACCATCATTAAAGTTGTTTGCCTCATCCCTCCAATATATGTTGAATATTATTCCCATCATCATTTTACCTGGTTCTTGTGGATCAGTATCACCAATCATCACCAGTGCTAGCTTTGATATCGGCTTCCAAGACAACAATTGCACGTTTTGCAATACAATTTCACAAGATCCTGTATTTTACCCTTATCACTTTCCTTGGTTCACTCCCCATTTGTAAATCTCTGTCAAGGTTGTAGAGATATCTATGTGTTTTGTGATATAAGGCATGTATATTTACCAATCCACTTTTGTATGATGCGTTATCATCTGATTTGACTTGTCAACGTATTTTAACAGTAGCGTCACTAGTGGATCGGGAACTGATGACCCTTTTTGAAGCACCTGAGTTCACCATCGGTGTTAAAGGGGGTACGTGTTGTTCAATGCTTAGTTTTCTATATAGTGTTTTGTAGACTGTTGTGTGTATTTTCGTCCTTTGTCTTTTATGATTCTTGATAAGCCCTTTGGTATCTTCTCCTTCCATTTAAACCATGACACAGTACAATGCTTAAAACTAATATAAGTTTATTTTTTCCAAATTCTAAAAGTTCTAGAAATCATTGCATTATTATCGTGACATTATTCATTAGACAAAACAGATTTACAGATTATAAAAGAAAAGGATATCGTGTTGTTACCTTATGTGTGGTATTTGAATTAAACAACACCAACTCAACTTTGAGAAAGACTGAAATCATGCATAAAATTGACAATTTAAGAAAATAGCACCCTTCCGGAGCACCTGAATTAAAACCCTTTGTTTTTTTTAAATTGTAAGTGTTGCATTTCGTGTTTTCAAATATATATATTGTTTCTGTCAACTAGTTTCTTTTAATTGTAAGTGTTGCA